TGTTGTGGGTCACACATGGGGACACACGTTAGGCCCCTAAAGTTAGTAAAGCATATGCTGACATCAAAGTGTCCTTTCAGCTTGACTCATTTCTGGACAGGTGGATCAAAATGATGTTTGGTACCTAAGAATCAGTTGTGCAGTCTGCTGCAGACTATTTGAGAGGATAATAGGAGGGGGCTGGGGTCGCATCAAGGGGTATATAGCTAGGTTTCATAGCAAGGGTTCAGGATGGGTTGGGGCAGGTCATTGTTAGCCAGTATGGACCAGGAGGGGTTTGCAATTTCAGGAGAGCATTTCAAACGCAGCTTGGACTCTCACATGGCAGGTGGGGTTAAATGTACATGCGTACCATTGCGTCGTACCAGTGTTTTTCATTTCTTCAGCTTCACTGTTCTGATGTCCGTTCACGTCCTTTGGCTGCCATCATTTTTAGAAACTTCTTTTAAAATGTTTTCATTCATTACCGATCTGTTTAGCTCGTCCTGAATGTGGGTATCGCGGACGATGGTGAGGAATGTTTGGAGCTCTGAAGCTGACCAAACCTTGCTGCTACTTGCTGGCATTTTCACGCAGCTGTATACAACTAATGAAAATACAAAACAACAGAACTCTGGGGTTTGTTTTCCTTGTAGCAAGTAGTGACGTATCTCTGTCTCCCAGTCAGTGGACCATGTTGTTTTGACACTGCCACTCCACCTTAGCCGTTCTACCCTAGCATTTCTGCCCTAGCCATACTGCCCAAGCCGTTCCACCCTACCTGTATCGCCATAGCCATACCGCACTAGCCATATTGCCCTAGCTGTACCGCCCAAGCCGTTCCGCCCTAGCCGTACCGCCCTAGCCTTACCGACCTTGTCATACCGCCCTATCTGTACTGCCCTAGCCGTACCACCCTAGCTGTTCCACCCTAGCTGTACCGCCCTAGTCGTACCACCCTAGCCGTACCGCCCTATCCTTACCAACCTAGTCGTACTGCCCCATCCGTACTGCCCTAGCTGTACCGCCCTAGCCTTGTGCCCTAGCCGTACCACCCTAGCTGTATCGACCTAGTCGTTCCGCCCTAGCCATACCGCCCTAGCTGTACCGACCTTGGCGTAGCGCCCTATCCGTACCGTTCTAGCCGTACTGCCCTAGCTGTTCTGCCCTAGCCATACCACCCTAGCTGTACCGACCTAGTCGTTCCCCCCTAGCTGTACTGCTCCATTGTCCTATGGACCTACAACAGAAGAGGACCATCAATGTCTCATAAATGTTGCGGTCCAGGTCAGTTGTATGGATCGGTTTTACAATCAGACAAAACAGCGACCCGACCCGCCTCGTCTCAAACCCCGCAGTTGACCCAAGCTATAGGACCCTTTATAACCAAATACTCTACACAGAGTAAAGCTCTAGCCAGGAACATATGTACCTGGGTATCCAACAAAACAAAGATTAGTCTCATTCACACAAAAATAAAGATAAAAGACACCAAAAAGAATTCCTTCGAAAACATCAGACCAAAGTGGAGATCTACGAATTCTCTGTTGTCATCATTTGGTTGTGGACATAATAACCAGGATTTTAGGTTTTGCAACGTCACTGCCCACACCAAAAATGCTCTGAAATCACATGCGCGACCCATGTTTGCACTTTCTTGATTGATATTACAAGATCAATTACTGCTCCATGTACCCGGGGCGAAAGACGACACTAAGGATGGTTATTGCCCATCGCCTAGTTATGAGCGGGGAGGATATCTGGTTTCACCAATGGTTTAGTTATAGGAGGAAGACTGACAGGTGAGACATTCTGGCAGATTCAGAGATTAAAAAAAAATCTAAAAGTGAGTGATTTGACAGTGGAACTGATAAATAATGAAGGAACACATGGGAGAGATTTGATATCCTCTAAAGGCTGAGAGATTATTCACTGATGGTCACTTCCTGCACTTTGAGGAAGTATTTCGTCAAGGTTTAATCCTTTCAGAACCAGGATGAGACATGTCCTAATCCTGTAAACTATTCAACAATCATGACGTAAGGATCTGATTCCTCCTGCTGTGAGTGAAGAAATGTTAAAACAGCTTTCTACACACACCTGCAGGACTAAGACCTAAAATAGCTCAGTGCAGACTTTGCAAGCGTGAACATAAATCAGAACTGAGCAAAGCAGGTGACTAGCCAGTCCTTTTGGTCTGTAGCACTATTTTGATGAGCATGTCCCATGAGGCAGAATGCATCAGTACAAATCTCATATGAGTGGGGATATAGCAAGATGACGAAACTAGAGTTACTCCAGACAGAACAGATCTTAGGAAAGGTGAGAAGTCCTAAACGATCAATAGGATGACTTTAAAGATTAGGTTCACTCATATTTTAATACATTTGCAGTGGTTTCTCGTAGGAATGACTGTCTTGTTCATCGTAATCTGGGGAAAAAAGCTCAGATGCTCCTGTTTGAGGATGTAGAAGTCAGATGGAGGAGAAAGTGGCAGAAGACGACAGGATTTGGAGTCTTATTTCCTGATATTCATACACCATGCCTCTGATTGGCTAACAGCAATGCGACTCCACCGCTGACTCAGTTTACTCTGCACGCTGATGTTTAATATCTACACATAACACAAGCCTGGAGGAGTTCTGCCATGTGGTGGAGTTGCTAATGCTAACGGTTAGCATCACTCCTCCAGCTTCACTGGCTGCCAGTCAACTTCAGGGTTAATTTCAAGATCCTGGTTCTGGTCTATAGGGCCTTACATGGACAAGCACCATCTTACATTGGTGATCTTCTTAGTCCCTACACCCCCAGCAGGTCCCTGACGTCCAGTGATCAAAGCCTACTGGTTGTGCAGCACCAGGCTAAAGACCAAAGGTGACAGATCATCTGCTGCTGTGACCCCCAGACTCTGGACCTCTCTCCCCCTGAGCCTGAGATCAGTGGACTCAGTGGTCTCCTTTAAAAAGCAGCTGAAAGCTCACCTGTTCAAGCTGACTTTGATGTGACCTTAATCACCACACTCTCCTTAAGCCTAGTTTATGCATCTGCATCGGTACGGAGACACGCAATGCCATTATCAGTCCTTGTGAGGGTTCTCAAGCAGTCTGGAAAGTACGTACGAAGTCGAGCCCACTTTCTAAACATTAGTTTGAACGAGATACAGCGCAAGCTTGTGATTGGTCATGACGCCGCTTTCATCAATAGCACTGCCCAATGCGCTCTCACAAACATAAAGAGAGCTGAAGATATCTAGTGGCAGACAAGGAGCAGCTTGAAGAATTACGTGCGGAAAAACTCTAAAAATATGAATGTTTTATTCAGCTGTGACTGAAGGAGTAGAAAGCAGCAAGCGTTTTCTTTGTTGATGGAAATGATGGAAAACGTGGGTTTAGAGGCGAGAGACAAATTTGGCCATGACATTTTAGTAGCATCTGATTCAGGGTCCCACATGCTGTTGCTGTTAGATCTCTCAGCAGCTTACGGTCAGTCATCAAATCCTGCTAGACCGCCTAAAACGCTGGGTCGGTCTGTTGGGTCCTGTTCTGTGTTGGTTCTGCTCCTATATGGCTAACAGATCCTTTTGTGTACGGATTAGGGACTGTGCCTCTCCCTGCCTTCCATTGACCTGGGGGGTGCCACAGGGTTTTGTCCTGGGGCCCCTTCTGTTCTCCATCTATCTTCTTCCTTTGTGACAGATTTTCAATAGGTATGGCATAGGCTACCATATCTATAGCGATGTCTGATATATTTGGCGATGAATGGACAAAATAAGGTTTCATTACTGGCAGCAAATTTCTTTAGACTCAATGAGACAAAAAATGAGGCCATTCTTTTTTGACCCTAAGAATCATTTTATCTCCACAATTAACACAAGCCTGAAGTTGCTAATACTAACTGTTAGCTTCTACTAGCAGAGATGTTCTCGGCTGTTTCCTGGATGCTAAACCAACAACAGCCTTCCCCGTCGTGAGTCAAGACGGATGAGTCCATAAATGTTTAGTGACAGTGTGAAGTAGAACTGTTAGGCTTTTCTGAACAGAGCGTTTTTAAACATAAATGTCCTTTTCTGGTGAAGAACTAAATAAAAGAACTCAGCTTTTTCTTGTGTTTAATCTAAACCGTAAAAACTTAGAAGAAATGAGTTATCTATGAAAACAGAAATTGAATCACCTGAATGATGTTTCCAGGAGAAATGTCTAAAATATTTGGCAAATTTTCAAGAAAAGGTTTAAAAAGTTAAAAAAAAAGTGCTTATAATGTTAAAACTCACTAGTTGTGTTGTCAATCATTTGACGACCACATAATCCCTCCATGTTCACTAAAACACCAGCAGAAGTATTCGCAGCACCACTTCATGCTGTCTTCTGTGTGTTGGACCCAATTACTGTAAACAATGTCAGAAAGTAGCAGCGGCAAGGCTTCACACAAAAAGAAGCTTAGTGGGAGGAATGGCTCTATAATGGAAATACCAAGGCACATAGAAAAGGTGCTGCCAGTGAAGAAGAGATAAGAGAGTCTGCCACAAAGACAGGTGAAACTTTCACATTCTTCACACCTGGAAGTGGAGGAGAGTCAGGGTTAAAATCCAGAGTCGAGTTTTCTCCAAATATCCCAAATTCCCATGAAGCTTTATCATTTAAAAAGAAATGTAGTCATTATAGTTCCCCACTTATTTAAACCCGAAACTTGTTATAATCTAATTTCATTGGTTAAATCAATTTAAAATGTGCAAAATAAAACGTGCTTGCAGATTCTCGTGGACGTTTTTGGTTGGCATCATGATGCAAAGTCAGTGTAAAGTGATGCTACTTTGTGAGCTCACCCACATCCAGCTTTGAGCAGTCTAATTTAAAATTCTCCAAATTTCTTAATATTTCACTCATCAGAAAACACATTATGATCTTGTTTTATGCACTGAAATGTGATGGAGAAAAAAAACAATTTTTCATAACGTTTTTCATTACAAATTTATAAAATGTCATTTGATGCTGGTTTGAGGAGATGCTGGTGTGTTGTCTTACCGATGGTCGAGATGTGAGACGGATGGAATTCGTTGTCCGTGAATCTGCATAACAAACATGTTTTTCCAACCCCAGAGTCTCCAAGGAGCAGGAGTCGGAAGAGCACATCGTACTGCTTAGCCATAGTGTTGTTTTAGGATGTGGTGAATGAATAAACCCAGAGCCATCTAACTCAGCGACGGATGTCCAGTCTCCCCCCAGCGGAGTCCCATGTCGCCTCAGAGGCTCCACAAAGCGCTGCACCTCTTTTTGTTCTCTGGTGTAGGGCTTAGTGACAGAAACCGGGATGCTACAGCTTCCCAGGCAACCTCCAGCTTCCAGTGGGCGCGGTGATGGACCACTGTCAAGCTAGACTCGGTGAGAAAATATAGCTTCCGGTAATGATTTTCAAAATAAAACCATGTGAGATTAAATGGTCTGTAAAAGTGTGGTAATAAAGGGTTATCTTCCAGTCAATTCCCGTCAACTATTACTCACTGAAAATATAAATAAACATGTTTTCAGATATTATGGAAATCTGAAAGGTGATAAATCTAAATGTCTATACTGAATCATTCCTAAAATGAAAACTAGATTCTTAAAGATAAAATTAGAAGTCAAAAATATTGCACAAGGCCTCTGTTTATATTACACGTTGTTTCAATGTGAATCAAACACTGAAGTACAAATAAACTGAGTCTGATTTCAGCCAAAAAACATTTTTGGTCATTTTTAATTGGTTAGAAAACTCGTTTTGACATTCCTTCTTTCATACAAACTAAACCCCCGAGTTTAAATTGGTGAGTGTTGCGCCTGCACATCTTATTTTGAAAGGCTTAATTGCACCAATTTGAAGGCTGGCTGTATGAAGAATAAATAATCTGAGGCTGTTGTAAAATATTGATTTGAGTTTTCTAACTTACAGGAATAGCATAAATAGTCAAATTACACAAGATTTCGTTTGTTTATTTTGGTCGTTAATACTTGATTACGCGATTGGAGGTAGTTTGTCCCTCTGGAGGCACCGTAGTTAACGTTCACGCAGATAGTTTTTTTTTTCCAATCTCAGTTTGAAGCGAGCAAAGAAGTATCAAAACAAAGTGAGCACGCCCTTTTTCCTTCTCTCCCATCCTGTCACCACAATGGACGGAATCCCGACTCCTCTGCGGTGCTTCAGCGAGCAGCACTCGGCCGAAATGTTTGTGGATGACGGCGTTGAAACGGTGACTTCCAGAGAGCAGGTGAGCTACGTTAATGTAGCTAATCATGCTAACGTTGCTCTGCGCTCGTCCGGAGTTGCTCTGCATCTCCAAAACAGATCGGCTTTTGTTTTCTCACATCGCATTTTCTTTATTAACTGTTGACTAAAAGCACGCAGTCTGATTGGCTTCCGTCTGCTGGCTTTACAGCTAGTTTAAATTAGCAAACCGGAGCTTCCAGTTAGCTAACGTCGAGCCGTAACGAGATTAAGTTTTCATGAATTAGCCGTCGCTGTTCTCCACGTAATAAAAGAGTTGCACCCTACTCTCACAGTGTTTAATAGTATTTAAGTGTATAAGTGTGCTTTTTCAGTATTGTTGAACTTAATTAACTAAATTTTCTTCTTTAAAATCAAGTTAAAACTGTTCTAAATTATAACTATTTGTGTGCAAATAAAGAGCAACAAGAGGACTTCTTCTATGAGCACTTAGCTCTAATATATACGCTGTTAAAAGGTTAACTATTTTATTTTACACAATATTTTATATTATTTATCATTTAATCTTAGTCTAATTCTATATTATTAATGTGTGACTTCTTCAGCACTCCCTACTGGTGATTAATATATATCAGGATCACGTCAGTACAACTAGAATTGGTCATTTTGGTTTGTTTTTCTAAAATTGGTGTCAAAATGTACATTTAGATGTGTGGTGGTGGCAGACGAGCAGCGAGGAGATGGGGTTTTCCTCTCTGAGCTACTATAAGTCTAATAAAAGGAATTGTAAAGGATGCAGAAATCAATATGAATTAATTCCAATTTTCTGAGTAATTTTGATAATAAAGTAACACAATTTCCTCTTAAGTGGCTAAAAGTTTTTTTTAATAAAGCTTGCCCAATTTAAAATTAATTTCTTGATTAAAAAGTGAACAGAAACAGGTGCAGCTGGCATTAAATACAGCCCTTATATGTAGTTTAAATGTAGTTTTCTTTTAAATATAAATATTGTGGAGATTAAAGAAGTTATTCTTGACCTAAGTACATTTTCACCAGGTTAGTAGATATTATTAAAACCATCAGCTGATAATGACCACCACAATGACGGCATTTTTCTGTTTATTTTGTCTAGAAAAACGTGGAACGCATCATTGAAGAAACCATAGATGTTTACAAGCAAATGCACAGCTTACCACAGTAAGTATCTAGCGTTAAATGTTAACCCTGAATGAGTTTTAGATGTAAAATTAAATTATGTTTTCTGCTTTTAACAAAATTAGTCCAGTTCTTTCCTGTCTTTTTTTAATAGTGTTAAAGTGAACCCAGGACACTAAGCCTTGGTGTGTTATCTCTGAAAAGCACTGACAAGTCTTTTGAGACACTTCTAAGAACTGTGATGTACTATCTCCGTTTTCTAAACGCTGTTGATCAGCTCACATACGCTGATTTTGCTATCAGCTGTCATCACTTCTCCGAGAGGTGACTCATCCCATTTCTATGACAACTGTTGGATGTGTTGGTGGCTGGCACTGCAGCCTGTGTGGACGTACATTCAGTGCCATGAGAAAATTAGTGTTATTAGTCACAAGAGGTGTGCATTGAGTAGAACGTGTCCTTTTTTAAATGTGTTGTAGGTTTGTGAGTTCTGGAGATAAAGAGCGACGTGTATTTTCTGCACCTGACATTGTTGAAAGTTTTGCTTTTTTTATATTTGGTGCATTAGTGTAAAACAAGTTGGTCTTTTTGCTGTAATTTCTTTTGTTTTGCTAGTTTAGCAGCTGAAAAGTCTTAGCTGGTTTTTGCGTGATCTTCATCACCACCCTGTCCTTATTCAGCTCTTTCTACTTATTCCGCCTTTCCTGGGATCCCTTGATTATCTCTGTTATTCATTTTCTCTTTCCTCACATTTTTTATTTTTCTAATTTTTATGATATTTTGTATTACTTTTTAAATATTTAATTTATTATTATTATAAGATCATTAATTATTGTTAGAAATTAGAAATAGAAAAGAGCGCGTTTTTATAATGGAAGTAGGGCTGCAGCTATCAAATATTTTTGTAATCGAGTACTCTATCGAATCTTTTTTTCGATTAATAGAGTACTCTAATAAATTACCCTTTTGTGTTTGTAAACCATTATATCAAATAGCATGTTATAATTATGAAAGACCTCTTAAAATGAGCAAGCAATTGCCAGTTATTCAAGTTTTATTCAAAATTAGTTTTCAAAACTTCAGCACTTCAACTTTACTTCACAGTAAACAAATGCCTGTGCAAAAAATAAGCATACAACCTGAGCCGATTTTCCCCTCGTGCGAGAATCTGCTAGCCTGCAAGCCAGACAGAAACTAGGAGGATAACTGCTGAAGTAGCGCTGCGAGCGGCTGCGGCCCAAACAGAACCAGAACCGCTCACGGTGCATGCGCAAACAGCTCGCCGGCTGTTTCCCTATTAACACACGTCCGTTTTAATTTCTACACTTATTTTCTCACACAATAACAAGGATTGTCGAGAAAGCATGTTTGCTGTGGTTTTGTCAAATTATACTGATCACAAAACATTTATTTACTTTCTTTCGTTTTCCTCCGCCACTCATAAATACCCGTGTCCACCTGCAGCAATCCTGAGGGACAACAGACATCAATAACAACACAGTAAAAAGTCCGACATATTGTGTAAAAACTGATATTTTTTAGCACATTTTAAGTCCGACGTATTGCTACCTGACGTACGATGTGAGCTGAAACTTGAGTGCTACAAACGAAAAAGTCGCACAGTGTCCGCAGAATATATAGAAATACAGGCTAAAATGCATTATCTTGTAGAGGCTCCGAGTCCGCTCGCAGAAGTGACATTTACAGGTGCTGCAGCTTGGAGGATGTGGTGTGGTAGGCTAAATCCATTTTACAGTATTTACACTGGACTATGTTTTCCACCTTACGACGTGAAAAAATGGTCCCACATCTTGACATTTTCTGTCTTTTTCGCACTCCACCGGGGTTCAAGTTGTCCGCCATGGCTTAAGAGAAAGTTAAGTTACATTCGCTACTCGCGTGTGCATTCAGTCCACTGGGCATGTGCGTCACTTATTTCAGTCCGGGTGAAACATGACCCCAAGCGATTGCAAAGCCATGAATTAATTAAATATGAATTAAACGAATCCTCGAGGCAGAGAATTTGACTCGAGGCTTTTTTGTACTCGAATTATTCGAGGTACTCGAGGAATCGTTTCAGCCCTAAATGGAAGTAAAAACTTCCCCATGCATGATCTATTAGCATGAATTATCACTTGGTGATGGTGAGTTCACAAACATGGGAAATTAAAAAAAATTTAGCCTTTTTATTTACACCATGCTAATGACTGATTTAGTCTGTCATGATCAATATTGGCCCATTACAATCATTAGAATATTATTGGATGTATCTCTTGACGATCTTTTCCATTAACACCTACTCAACTCTTCAGGTTGCCGTTCCCTTTTTTTTCTGGTTCGATGTGGGAAAACGTGATGTTGGAAGACCGTTGGTCACTGATTGTCTAGTAGGTGGAGTCATTAGTTGCTCCAGATTGTCTTGCCTTGCTGCCCGCAGCCTTTTCCAGTCCATTCTGGCGTAGGAGTCAAGTGCCCGTCTTGTAACCGGAGGGTTGTGGGATCAAATCTTGCTCAGTCTGTCACCGAGTCCTTGAGCAAGACACGTAACTGACAAAGCCTTCTAGTGGTGATTGGAGGGTTCGGTGGCATATGTGTTTGACAGTTTCGTTTCCGTCAGTGTACCCCATTGTGGCTACAATGTAGCTCATCACCATTAGCGTGTGAATGTGTGTGTGCATTGGTAATTGATTGATTGTGTTGTAAGGTGCCTTGGGGGGTTGTAGAACCCTATAATTAGTCATCATCACACACTGGTGAAATGACATCTCTGCATGTGACCAATCCGAGTGGGGAGCGGTGACCTGCAGCTGCGCTCGGGAATTAATTGGTGGTTTAACTCCCAATCTGGAAATGGGGCGATGGTGGCACAGGAATTAAGTGCTCGCCCCGTAATCGGAAGGTTGCAGGTTCGAGCCCCGCTCAGTCTGTCGTTGTGTCCTTGGGCAAGACACTTAACCCACGTTGCCTGCTGGTGGTGGTCGGAGGGACCAGTGGCGCCTGTGCTCGGCAGCCTCGCCTCTGTCAGTGCGCCCCAGGGCAGCTGTGGCTACATTGTAGCTCATCCCCACCAGTGTGTGAATGTGTGAATGACTGATTGTGTTGTAAAGTGCCTTAAGGGGTTCCAGGACTCTAGAAGGCACTATATCAAATACAAGCCATTTACCATTTACCAATCCAACCCCTTAAAGCTGGGTGTCGAGCAGGGACAGGTCCTTTAACATTTACCATTCTTTGTGGAGTCTGACAAACACACCATCGCTACCAAGTCCTCCATGTTGTGTTTCTCCTCCTGAACCACGTAGTGGAGCTGCGCAGTAGCTACTTGTGGAAAAGAGGCTTAAATGTTTTGTTAGTGTTAGTTTTAACATTTCATCCATGTGTCTAGGGCTGGGCGATACGGCCTAAAATCATCATCACCATATATTGAGGATTTCCCCTCGATAACGATAAATGGACGATAACTACAGGTATGCACAGAGACAAAACCTGTCCACTAGATGGGGCTGTCACATGTATTACATTGAGTCACATTTTTACATGACTCAAGGTGGTACAGCTTCTTAAGGAGCAAGTCATCACCAAATCAAGTTTTTTTTTTCTGATAAACTATATAAATACGTGTCTAATTGTGCTGCAGACACGTGTAGTCAGTAGTTTTGCACTTTGGTGCATTTTAGTTAAAATTTAAATTTTCTGCCTAAAACTGTCAGTGTTGTGCCGTTGTCAGGTAAAAACTCTGCACTGCTTTTGAATTTAAATCTGCCATTGCTATTGGCTAAGAGGTACATAGAATGTTAGCTGGTACCATATGATGTCACAATGCTGTCGTGAGCCTGTGTGTGTGTGCATTTGTTAGCGGCTCCACCCTCTCGGTATGTTAGGCAACAGCATTTGTTGCATTTTTCAAACAGGAAGTGGGAGTGGAGTAATACTCTGGTAGGGGGTAACTTGCTCTTTAAAGGGACATGAACATTGCCAACCTACACACATCTTTTCATTTTTATTATCAAATGTATTGACATGGGAAAAATTATCTCGATAAGAGTCACGAATTTCTATAACGATAAATTTTCGATTCATCACTCAGCCCTACGTGTCTAAACGAAACTGTTGTTTTCTTGCGTTTTCGTGTAGACAGCCAAAATTTAATATTTGAGAACTATGACGTCATAGCTAGCCTAACCAAACCTCTGACGATGTAACATAGTCCACACCTGTTTTGTGTTCATGTGTTTTTGTGGCGGTGTCACAGACAGGTCTGGCATAGTTTCCACATTATTTTGGATTTTTTTTTTCAGGGGGGGGGGGGGCTGTTTGTTTATTTATTTATTTTTTTCTTGTAGATGAGAACATTCTTGTAGATGAGAACATTCCTAGAAAAAGATTGTTTTGGAAAAGCTGTTTTGTGTAGATGAGGCCTGGTTCTTTGTGTGTACATGAGCCCCTGATGCTGAGATTACAGGTGCCGTATCTCATCTACTCGCTCATAACACACAAACTAGTTCACGGCACGGTGAATCCTTATCCGATGAGGTGGGCAGAATGGTTCTCTAGCTGCTGAGGGCTGCTCCTGTACTCCTAACTCTGATGGAGATCTGTGACTCACCCTGTGGAGGAACAGTATCATTACAACAATGGGAGGGAACACTACAAGAAAAGGGCCGATGGAGAACAGGATCGGATGGATGAGTGTGTGCAGAGGGAGGCAGAAGTGTCAGTCCACCACTCACTAACCCACATGCTCCCTTTGGTGCACATGCAGGTTGCAGAGTCCTTCCTGTGGTGCACGTGTTGACTCAAAAACATTCCAGGAAACGGTTTGTGAACATGTGCATATTACTTGAAAATGGGACTTTCGCACAATCATGTCAAACATTTAGCAGCTTTAGAGGCTGCATAAGCAAACTATTAACCAAGCCCTTTCAGTTTGGCTTCATTGACCAAATCTATCCTGTCAGAGCGTCGACATGAAGCTCTTCACTTTATGGTGCATTTACACGATTGGATCAGGATCTTTGGAAGTTTTAGACCATGTCAAGCCTTCAGGCTCTAAAGCAGCCAAAACGCTAACAAATTAGCCAATTTCCGGTATCTAAAACTTCAAAAACAAAGTAACGCCACTGCTTTAGAACACTGTTGTCTATTTTATACCTTTACAAGTTAAAGTGACTGTTTCGTTTATGCTGATTGTATTAAATAAAAGTCCAAATGCTACTGTACCACTCTGATTGGCCGCAGCTCGCCAGCTGCTCACGTGCAGAAGCTAGCGCTCGCTTAGTGACGTCACCCAAAGTTACAGTAAAACTAATGACAAAATGACAAACGTGGGTTTAGAGGCGAGAGACAAATTTGGTCATGACATTTTAGTAGCATCTGATTCAGGGTCCCACGTTCTGTTGCTGTTGTTAGATCTCTCAGCAGCTTTTGATACGGTCAATCATCAAATCCTGCTAGACTGTCTAAAACGCTGGGTCGGTCTGTTGGGTCCTGCTCTGTGTTGTCCGCTCCTATCTGGCTAACAGATCCTTTTGTGTATGGATTGGAGACTGCCTCTCCCTGCCTTCCAGTGACCTGGGGGGTGCCACAGGGTTCTGTCCTGGAGCCCCTTCTGTTCTCCATCTATCTTCTTCCTTTGTGACAGTTTATGATGAGGCACTGTTGTCCTCATCTCAGGAACAGATGCTGTTGGTCTGCTGCTGTTCTTTGACAGGTTGGAAGTGCTGTTTAGTATCAGGACGTCATTGATCTATCGTATAATTGGGTATGCACTGTGCTAATTTCACATTTTGCCCTTTAAGCAGGCGATTTTAGGCGTTTAGGTCTTCTGACTGTAAAAACCATCATTTGATCATATTTTGGTCACCTTTTTAAATGATTATGGTTGACTTGGTTGACTTGTGCATATTTTACATAACTAAATGAGACTTTTTCTTTTCTTGTCTTTCAGGCCGACCTTGTTGCGGGAACAGCACTACCAATATCTCAAGAAGGGCTTACGTCACTTATCAGATGCTTATGAGGTAGGGTAGGCGTGTTTAACTTTTTTCATTTGTGTGTTTTTTGAGTTAAAGAGCAAGTCACCTCCTACCAGAGTATTACTCCACTCCCACTTCTCGTTTGAGAAATGCCACAAAAGCTGTTGCCTAGCAGACCGAAAGGGCAGAGCCGCTAACAAATACACACACACAGGCTCACAACGACATTGTGACATCATATGGTACCAGCTAACGTTCTAGGGTACCTCTTAGCCAATAGCGATGGCAGATTTAAATTCAAATGCAGTGCAGAGTTTTTACCTGACAACGGCACAACACTGACAGTTTTAGGCAGGAAATTGAAATTTTAACTAAAATGCACTAAAGTGCAAAACTACTGACTACACGTGTCTGCAGCACAATTAGACATGCATTTATATAGTTTATCAGAAAAAAAGTTGATTTGGGGGTGACTTGCTCTTTAAAGACATAAACGTAGCTAAGAAATCTAAGTTTTCTCTTCATCTCCAAGCAGAGCATTTAAAAGCATCTGTTTCTCCCTTATGTTACGTTGTCTTCCTCTCTTTAAGACTGGTTTTGCTTCAGAAGAGGCTCTGGGGAAGTCCCTTCTGGTTTTGTTACTGAAGTTTTCTTAACCAATACCACAGACATATTGTGGTCCTCTTTGCTCTGTGTGTGCACCAGAGTCACAAAACTGGATAAAGCAAATAAAGTGAAAAAGTGTGGCATTAGGGAAACATGAGGTAAGTTTGATTGATCTCACTGCATTTGTGTGTGTGCAGTGTCTAGATGCAAGCAGACCGTGGCTTTGCTTCTGGATTCTGCACGGTCTGGAGATCCTAGAGGAGCCCATTCCTCCTGCTGTTGCCTCAGAGTGAGTGGAACATGAATACAAACTCCTTCTCTATGACTAGAATGCTACCAAACTCATGACGCCTTAAATAAAGCCAATATAAATGTTGGGAAGTGACTACAGAGCTCTGTTCTTTACAGATGTTCACCCAGCTGTTTCCTTTGAACAGTAATTTTGTCATGGAGACAAAAGACCCTGCCGCCTTTCAGAGGAAACACTCTGCAGAGCGAGTGGCGATGCCAGGCCTCAGCCCATGCTCTCATTATATCTGATAGGTGCGCCAACTCAGCCGGCTGGCACAGGCCCTTTGTCAGCGTGGCATCCTCGTGCACGCTCACACACGTGCACTCTGGCTCCATTCACTAGCTTGGAACAATGCAACTCTACAACAGATTGATTCCTCTGTCCCGTGACTGTACTCTGGTCAGAGCTGGCTTCAAACTGATTGGCTAAATTTAACGGCTTTCTCTTCCAACACGCTCAGCTCGAGGCGTCGGTCCAACCGTGTGAATCCTCTCCGTGATGGAGGTTGGGATCGTCTGTCCTTTCAGCTACCAGAGATGAACTGTGGTCATTTCTACTGCTCTTTAAAATCCCAACCTGTAAATCTTTTCTCGGCAGTGTGTGTCAGTTTCTTGGACGCTGTCAGAGCCCAACAGGGGGCTTCGCTGGAGGTCCGGGACAGCACGCCCACCTCGCACCAACCTACGCCGCTGTCAACGCGCTCTGCATCATCGGCACAGAGGAGGCCTACGGCGTCATAGACAGGTACGGTCCTGCTCACGTTGCCTCATTCCCCCATTAAAAGTGCAGCTAACCCCGCCCTCTGTGATGACCTCCTCAGGGAGAAGCTCTTAGATTTCCTATGGTCCCTGAAGCAGCCAGATGGCTCCTTCACCATGCACATTGGAGGGGAAGTGGATGTCAGGTGAGGGCTCAGAATGCATCTTTCCTCTATTTGTACCACTTTTACAGCCAAAACTGCATTAGTCAAATATGATTTTATTTTTAAGAGTTCATCTTGTATTAGTCAAAGTTTTGTTTGATCCTTTAGGTTTTCTCTTTAAAGAGCAAGCCACCCCCTACCAGAGTATTACTCCACTCCCACTCCCCGTTTGAAAAATGCAACAAATGCTGTTGCCTAGCAGTCCGAGAGGGCGGAGCCGCTAACAAATACACACACACAGGCTCACAACGACATTGTGACATCATATGGTACCAGCTAACGTTCTAGGGTACCTCTTAGCCAATAACGATGGCAGACTTCAACTCAAATGCAGTGCAGAGTTTTTACCTGACAATGGCACAGCACTGACAGTTTTAGGCAGAAAAATTAAACTTTAACTAGGGCTGCACGATATTAGGGAATGCGATATGCGATAACAGCGATTAATATTGCTATGACGATATTCCTTATCGGATAAATATAAACTTAATTCAGGAACAAAAATAATCAAAAAGTGACAAAAAATCATAAAAATGAGAAAAGCTAAAGATGTGAGGAAATTGGATCCCGGGAAAAGCAGAATCAGCAGAACTAAGCTAACTCAGGTGTTTGCTAACCATCAAAATTAAGTGTCGGGGGCGGGCATCTGACCCATGAGAACCCACCCAATTGGCCAAACGGGTGAAGAGCTGTATTTGATTTGATTAAAAAAACATCATGCTTCCATTTCATTGACAGAATGCATTTTGTGTAGCAAACATTTGAGCTGAACATTCATTGCGATAATTATCTGTTCTTTGCGATATGCGTATTGCGCATGCTGATATCACGATAACGATATAGTTGCGATATATTGTGCAGCCCTAATTTTTAGCTAAAATTCACTAAAGTGCAAAACTATTGACTTCACGTGTCTACAGGACGACTAGACACGCATTCATATAGTTTATCAGAAAAAAAATGTTGATTTGGGGGTGACTTGCTCTTTAAAGTGTGATTTATGGAGCTTTAATTTGAAGTCTTCCAAACCTCCTTTAAGCAGCGGTCAGAGCTGTTATTACGGAGAATTTCATTATTAATGTTCATCTGAAAATATCAGCTTCAAATAATCCCAGAGAAGATTCCTCGGTTTGATTTTTATGGTTTGCTGATAACGTATTTCTAATTTTCATCGGAAATCACAAATTGTAATAAAAGGACAAAAAATTACCCCGTTTAATAATAAAGAAGGATTTACGGTCATCAACCTATTTAGTTTCTGATCTGATTCTTCTGTTACAGGAGTGCTTATTGTGCCGTTTCTGTAGCTTCGCTCACAAACATCATCACGCCTAAACTGTTTGAGGACACGACCAACTGGATCCTCAGGTACAGCTGGAGCAGCGTCCTGCTGGTGAATAAATGCCCTGCTTGTTTTAATCCGGTCTGTTTCTGGGGTTTTCTCTGGTTCCAGTTGTCAGAACTGGGAGGGCGGTCTGAGTGGAGTTCCGGGGTTGGAAGCGCACGGCGGTTACACGTTCTGTGGCACGGCTGCCCTGGTCATCCTGGGTAACGAACACATGCTGGACCTCAAAGCGCTGCTGGTGAGAGCTCATGGCCTCCTCCACTCCTTAGGAGTTCAATCTTAAACTGGTATAAATCTTGCGTTCTTCCGTAGAGGCAGCTCGCTGGTCCATCCTGGTTCTCTGCACCGTTATGTTAAACTGTATTTTGTAACATTTCTGGGATGAAAGCAGCAGCTTTACACTCATGTTGAGGGACTTTCCATATGAGTGCTGAGCTTATCTGAAGAAGAGAGACAGATGCGTCTGTGTCAGCTGTCGGCCTGTCTGGCATTTTTCTGCTTTCATCTCTTCTGTTGGTATGCAAGCACCTAAAGAAGGCTCATCTTGTTGCAGCACCTATTCAAATGATACGCAGGAAGGCGTTCATTTGCATGGTGGCTTGTAAAAGTGTCCCAAACTCTGCAGCAGTGTCCGGTTTTGTCTTTCATCAAAGGCAAACAGCAGCATAGGCATCTGACCATCCGTGTTGGTTTTAGCAGGTAAATAAGCTACTTTAGGGTCTTCTAAATGTCCTGAATGTGTCATTAATGATTTTAAAGCTGTTGGAAGACTGTTTTAAACCATAACATGTCACATCTACATGGTCGCAGGTGTTATTAAAGAGCAAGTCACCCCCTACAGAGTATTACTCCACTCCCACTTCCTGTTTGAAAAATGCAACAAATGCTGTTGCCTAGCAGACCGAGAGGGCGGAGCCAATAACAAATACACACACAGGCTCACAACGACATTGTGACATCATATGGTACCAGCTAACGTTCTAGGGTACCTCTTAGCCAATAGCGATGGCAGATTTAAATTCAAATGCAGTGCAGAGTTTTTACCTGACAACGGCACAACACTGACAGTTTTAGGCAGAAAATGTAAATTTTAACTAAAATGCACTAAAGTGCAAAACTAATGACTACACGTGTCTGCAGCACGATTAGAGATGCATTTATATAGTTTATCAGAAAAAATAAGTTGATTTGGTGGTGGCTTGCTCTTTAATTAACTCTGCCAGTTAGGGATGTAAGAAAATATCTAAATGGCGATATTATATCGATATTAAAAAGCTGTTTATCTAATTTTTGGAAGAATTTAAATGCAAACATTTGTGTATTTTCTTTTCTTTGGTGTAATTCAAACGCTGACTGATAGTTGGCGGCAGTGTGCAGTGGGTTTTTTGCAATATATCATGATATATCGTATTGTCTCCCCTGTCTGGTGATGCGTATCGCCAAAATTTCACCAGTACACATCCCTACGATCAGTATTTGGAGGTTTATAACTTTAAAGTCTACTTTTAAATGTGATCTATAAGCTGATCATCTCTAAAACCCTTTAAGATATTTTCTTTCTGTCAGTTTTTTTTTTTACATTTTTTTTCCTTTGAAAACTTCTTAAATTTTAACCAATAAAATGTAGTTTATTTTATTTTATTTTTCTATTGCATAGGAAATATTTAAACAAGCAGAAAATGAAACGTTTTATTGAGTTCTGTTTTCTTCCATGCTTGAAGATTTTAGTTTAAAATGTTATTTATCAAACGGTTAAATAAAGTTTCTCAGTTAAAGTACCAGAGAACATTGAAGATGTTTTATATCGTGATGTCGCCCGGCCCTACGCATAAGGATGAGTACAAGCTGTAGCTGTTTTAAAGTGCTCCCTCTCCTCCTCAGCGCTGGGTGGTCAGCAGACAGATGCGCTTCGAGGGAGGTTTCCAGGGCCGCTGTAACAAACTGGTGGACGGCTGCTACTCGTTCTGGCAGGCTGGACTCTTGCCTCTGCTCCACAGAGCCTTGTTCAAAGACGGTGTGTTTTCATTTGAACTCCACATTCCAATAAACACGAGGAATCTCTGGCCAGCGTCTAAATACCCGGGAGAAATGATCATCAGAGCTTTCTGCGCTGACTCTTATCGTATTTCTACAAACTATTTCTAACCTTTTAATTGGAAGCTTATAAAAAACACCAACTTCATCATTTCTCCCAATCGATATCATTTATTATGGAGCCTCAAAACCTACTGAAATAAGAGTTTTTGTTCCAAGAGAACATGTCCTTGTTCTTATGTTTGTAGAAAATGAATAAAAGAATTAGAAAGTGACCTTAAAAAACAGAAATAAATCAGGTTGTTTGTGTTTTACAAAAATAAACAAAGTTCTTTTAAAGTAAGATCCATTTCTGCTCTTGTAACACTACATTAGCGCGCTGAGACGTCCTTATGTTACACAAACTGCACTTTAACACGTTTTTGGTTGAAACTGGAGCCGATTTAGTTTATTCTGCTACTGACATGACTTCTTTATCAGGGTCTCTGCGGTAGAAACTTCATGAAATTCATAATATCGGACCACAAAAAGCTAAAACTACATTTACATTTTATTGCCTTAAATCTTAATATTTCTTAGGTTCTTGTCTTTTGTGGTCAAAGTTACAAGAAGCCATTCCAGAGGGGCTTAGGAGCTTCATGAAACACAGAATATTTGTTCTAAACTGGTGAATAATGATTGGAGACGACTTTTAAATCATTCATGAGTTCATTTTTAGACAGTTTTTGGTGTCATTTTGTAAATAATACAAAGGTGTGTGTATATGTAGGAGAGCTGGAGCTGAGTCGGCAGCGGTGGATGTTCGACCAGCAGGCCTTGCAGGAATACATCCTCCTGTGCTGTCAGAACCCAACAGGAGGCCTTCTGGATAAACCTGGCAAGTCAGTATCACACCATCTGGTCTCTCTCTCTCTCTCACACACACACACACACACACACACACACACCTCTCACGAGCTCCTTGTTGTTTTTCCTTTCGTTTAACTGTCAGATCCAGAGACTTCTACCACACGTGTTACTGCCTGAGCGGCCTCTCCATTGCGCAGCACTTTGGAAACATGGAGCACCACCAGGAGATCATCCTGGGCAAGGAGGAGAACCGTCTGGTAAGGGTGGAGCAGCATCGGTCATTTCATTTAGTTTTAGGAGGAAAGCTTGGTATGAAGACTACTAACCCTAACCAAAATAAAACCAGAATAGGTCAGAAATCAACCTTAAATGTTTCAAAAATCAGAAACACAAATCTTATGTCTGTTGTTTATAATCTACAGGAAATGAACCACAGTCGTGTCAAAATGATTTAAGTTAAATTTTAAAGTGTTCAGTCCATGGCGATAGGTGAGGTCATATAGAACAGACATGGAAATTAGCCCCATAGCTCATAAAGAAGTGAGTTGTTTTCATTTGCCTGTTTACTGACACTTACCGCTGGTCACCAGTAGCCCCGCCCTATTTAAATCAGCTGCTAAATGAAAACAACTCAGTAAAGATTCCAACGGAGGTTAAACAGCTACACCCAGGCGGACAACGCCTACGGTTCTCCTACGCTTTCGGAGAACAACAGATGATTCCTTTTCGTTTTGTCTTCTAGGCTCCAATTCATCCAGTTTACAACATCTGCCCGGAGAAGGTGGCTCAGGCCCTGCAACACTTCCTGAGGTTGCCCGTCCCCACAGACCTCAGGCAGCCCGGAGTCTCAGGTGATACCAAATCATCAGAACCGGACTCTGCCTATGCTGAGCCTCAGTCCTAGTTTACCCTCAGCAGGGGCCGGTTCTGAGGAGGTCCGGTGTGGACTGTTGAAGAGATGATGGACCCTCAGTAGGGACGAGGGTTGGTGTTTAGAAGCAGTTTGTTTTAAAAATGTTCTGGCTTGTGTTGCGTACTCTTTGGATCCTCTGAAATGAAGGTGTTACTTTGTACGGTTTCAGTTTGACCCAACTCAATAAAACTTTCTACAGCCCTTCTCAAAGCGGTGCCGCCGTGTGCTTGAGTTTCGAAAACTGGGTGTAACGCCAAATAAACGAACACTTAAGGACCCTCAGCATCAAAGGTTAGGAGGTAACTTTTGATGTTCGCATCGTTCCTCTACTTTTGCATCAGTTTTTACTATTTTACAGAAAGTCTCATAAAAAAAAACAATTAATTGTATATACCTCATTTATGAATCTTATTTTTTAAAACCTAGTTTAAGCTAACAATGATTTAAAACGCCCATTAATGATCAAATATGGCCTCAGAGTTCATGTAAAATACAGCACTGGTGAGAGTCATGGTTGAGTTTTGCAGAAATTGATTATTTCAGCTATCTTTCTGCCGACAGGACGTTTAAGGGTTCTTATTATTTAAAAAAGCAAATAAAAAGATGTATAACCACCAGTGCTTTGATGTCAGTCTTCCTCTTGACTGCATTAGTACACAACGAGCTGCTGGATAGCAGATTAACAGTGACTACCGTTTCTGATTCTACCATTTAGAAGCAAAAGTGATTGTTTTCTATGGTTTGTTGCATTGAATTTAGATCTATGACTTAATGTGTTTGATGCATTACTGGTGACTTGTTTCACTAAAAATAGTGAAAATCTGTACCAGTCTTGAGCCCTGGATACAGGAGTACATAGACACCCCATTAGACGCTGGAGAGCGATTCAGGGTCGCCACCACCATATTGGGTGGGTTCCTCACTCCAAACTCAACTGGAGAAAATGCAGAGTGGTTGACTATGCCTGTTTTTTTGTGCAGCCTACAGTTGCAACAACCGGCCAGCGGCCACCATCCAGCATGTTGTAGTTGCCCCCCTCTTCCAACGCACCTGATTAAACTATTGTTTTGTTTGGAGTTAAATCTCATCAAGCACTGCAGAGGCCTGGTAGTCACTCACTGATTGAAATCAAGTGTTGAAGTAGAGACCTCCTAAAATATGCCAGGTGGTGGTCCCTTAACAGCATTACGCTTATTTTAAACCGTACACATGAAAACTGGAGCTTTGCCGCCATACTGGTTGGGTCCCCCGCTCTCTAAACCCAACTGGAGTCAACGCTGAGTGGACAATTATGCCCATTTATCGTGCAACCTAGGGTTGCAAAAACTGGTGCACGAAAGCATCACGTGGGGCAACTGTTGACTTTCCTTGCCTAAATGTTGGGATTTCATATTTTTATTTATTTTATGTAATATTTTATTGTGCCACGTGTCTGATTTTGTGATGAGCATTATTAAATGTGTTTTTCTTTTTTTTCCCCCTCTGGGTAAGCACTTTCCACAATAAAAATCAATGTACTGGTGGTGAATGGAGACCTATCCAAGATGGCGGCATGCCACTTTGGCAGCTCGAGTCCACGGGGCTTCCTTGTGCCACTTTTTATGACCTTTCTCTTGAATCAGTACATTTGTTATTCATAATAAATATTGACCCTACCTTCAGGTTACGTCACTCAAAGCCAAGCGAGGTTTCTGCTTCTACTTATATGTCGACGTTTTCTACCAAGTTTTTTTCTACCAGGCCCGTCGATAGGCTTCTCAGACCATAGCTAGCCAAACCGCTAACAAATTAGCCAATTTCCGGTATCTAAAACTGTTCAAAAACAAAGTAACACCGCTGCTTTAGAACACTGTCGTCTTATTTTATACCTCTACAAGTTTAAATGAGTTTCGTTTATGCCGATTGTATTAAAGTCCAAATGCTACTGTACCACTCCGCTGATTGGCCGCAACTCGCCAGCTGCTCACGTGCAGAAGCCAGCGCTCGCTTAGTGACGTTACCTAAAGTTACAGTAAAATTAGTGACAAAAATGTCCTTCAAGATTTACTGAAAGTCATTTAAGGTTTTACTTAAAATAGAATAACAGGCAACATGTTGCTGATCTGTGGTACAGCTTTAGCAACATGCTCTTGCGAGATTTGTGGAGTCCCACGGGATCCCAGCACGTTTCAAATAGCTGTAATTTCTATAGAAATTATGTACTTTTAAAGGCAAAAACTACTAAATATTTTAATCCAGAAACAATCTAGTTTTCTCTTGAGTTTAAAAAACTTTTTTTCATTCTTTTGCTCAAGGAGTCAGTGACCACAAGCAACACAAAAAAGGATAAAATAGTTTATTTTATAGTCTCATAGTAAATGTAGGCCTCAACTTGCAAGACAATTGTTGGCAGTATGTACAACATACTTGTAATTTCCATGGAATGGAACTGGACAAAGACCTACCGCACTAATTATATCCTAGCTGGAAATAAAATAAAAATATACATACACACACGTTTCCTAGAGATGCAAAAAAAAAAACCTGCATCTTTTTAAAAAATTATTTTTTGTTTATTTTTTCTTAGGGGGGGGGGGGGGGGGTTCAACAATGTTGGTTTTCCTGTGTAGATCACGACTCACTGACAGGGACTGGTTACACCTCCTTGGTCTGGAGGCGCCAGCAGCTACTGCTCCACATTCAAGACTGAGAACAAAAACTACCGGTGACAAAATTGGCATTTTCTTCATAACTTAAGTGATTATTACAAAATGCATGAACACATTTTTTGAAATATTGAAAACATCCAATCAATTTCTTGTTTAATATATAAAAATGAGAAGCTTTACGTATTCAGCCACCTAAATCTTTCACTACTGAAGCTAAAGGACAAAATACGATACAAATTTAGGAATGTTCTCCTTCGAAACATCAATTTCAACAAAACAACTCATGACTTTATACATAATCTTATGTTACGCGTGTCTGGCAGAAAACATCTGCACTCCAGTGGACCTGAGGTGGGAATTACATCTCCTCAAAGCATCTTCACATTCATTAGTGGGGGGAAAAAAGGGGAGCTACGAATTCACTTTAAAATGGTAAACCTTTCCAGTACAATTAATCTAGGTGTGTGTGTGTAAATTCTAAACAGTTTATTTAAGAACAAAAATTAACAATAATATTTAATAAAGCAGTGCTTGGAAGAGTACACCTGGCTCCGCCTTCTGCCCCAATAACCACCCCGTGGGGGGAGGAGTTTACCAAGTGTACAAAAACCATCAAGTCTTTAAGTAGCCAAGCTGCCTTTTTATAAGTTTTGGATTGTTGTTGCTAAGAGACGGAGAAGGGGGGGGGGGGGTACTGATGATGGAGAGACACCAACTAGAGGGAGGAGGGCGGGGGATGCTGGGGAAACCTGAAGATTGATCCATCTTCCTCCCTGCTTGCTTCCTCTCTAGGAGAAAAGGTGATGGTGACGGCGGTGAGAGAGGGCGTTTTAGGAGACGAGAGGCTGTGGAAGGAGTGAGCTTAGAGAGCTTTGAAGGGTGAATCTCTCTCGCCCTTTCTTGTGCCCCACCGACCCGTTCTTAGAGGGGATTCAGCCAATCGGAGCTTTAGCTGGCCTCCAGGCGCAGCTTCTTCCTGGTGGGCGGGTCCTCCGTCTCTGACTCGGAGCTTGAATCAGAGCCGCCGTCAAACGCTGACACGGCGCTGCCTTTGGGGTTGGTGTACAGGCTGCTGTCAGACGACGAGTAGCTGGCCTGAAGCTGCGTGGAGCCCTTGACTTTCTCCAGAGCGCGAACTGGTGCGACAGAACACCAAACAAAGAGCGTCTTAAAACAATTGTCTGACATTACAGTAAAAACATTTTTTAAACCTGAAACTTTTAATTTCTGCATCTAAATAAAAATCTTAGTTTTCCTACATTCCTCTCACCTTTAGATGTGCTGTTGAAGGTAAAATATATTCTCCAGTCTCATTCGCTCTTTTTTTTTTTAAAACTAACCTGGTCTCTAGTGTAAACAATAGGGTTGGGCATCGTTTGATTTTTGAACGATTCCAATTCCAAGTTTCAATTACAGTTCCTATCGATTCCCGATTCCAATTCTTTCAAGACATGACATGCTTTACATGAACCAGCTAACCACAGGTCCTACTTGATGAAATAATCTTAACTTCAACATGAATTTTAATTCTATCAACAACAACATCACCTTCATTTAGACAGAAACATGTTTTTGAGAAAAAAAGAAAAAGACTTGCAGCACAACCAGTGTGTTTGTTTCTGACCACAACCAAAGTGTGGAAGCAGCCTCTGGGATGAGAGGCTAAATGTCTCCAACACATCCAGAAACGTCCAGCTGTTTTCAGCTAAAACTCTCAGGATGATCATGTCCAGGACGACTGAGAACTACACCTCCATGCTGCAGCAGCATTCAGTCAGAACAGGAAGTGAAACTTAAACGTAGCTGCTGTCAGTAACAATCTAACAGATTTTAAACATTAAAACTCAACAGAAATAGTTCAGAAAGGAAATTAAAATGTTCACAGCTTTGTGTGTGATTTATTATTATTATTATAAATATTATTATTATTATTTATTGTGGCAGAAGCCGGTGTGGTCCACCACAGAGAAAGCTGCTCTAGCATGATGACTTTAATTATTCTACAGGTTATTGTTCAGCCTTCTGACGCTCTCACTCACACACACACACACACACACACACACACACACACACACACACACACACACACACACACACACACACACACACACACACACACACACACGAGTGTTGGTGAGCGGCTGCGTCTGACTGCTGACGCTCCGTGTGTGTTTTTATTTCTGCAGTGAGACAAACTCACCTCACACCGTCCAGAGTTTGTTCTTTAAGCTTCTATTAAATCCACCGTGTTGACGTATTTTAACAAGTTTTCTCTACGCTGCAGGAGTTAAAGTTTACATCATGGAGTAAAAGTTCGGCAGACACGTTTGTTTAGATTTGACTGCCGGTTGTGGGGAGGGAGGGGGGACTCTGTGCTGCACACAGACAGCTGGTGTGATCAGCTCTGGAAAGCGTTGATCGCAATTTGCAGATCATGTTTAATTTTCACGGAGATCGGCCGCAGATTCCTCTTCTGGTCAGCCTTCTAGGAATCGAAACTCGGAATCGAAAAAAAAAAAACTTTGAACGATTCCGGGAAAAACGAACAGTTGGAACCGGTTCCAATCGATGCTCGATGCCCAACCCTAGTAAACAACAGTTTTTAATTCATTTCTGTGCAAAGAAAAGCTCTGGCGCTCCTGTTTCTGGGATTAGAAGTTAATCAGTGGAGTGTGGGGTGGGGGGAGATTACTCATGAATATTCATGATATGTAAACACCACGGCTCTGATTGGCTGACAGCTACACGAAACTCTCAGGATGTTGTAAAACTTTCTTGTGTAAAAATATGACAATTACAGGTTTCTGTTGCTGATACCGATAAGGTCATGGTCAGCCGATTTTTGGTACCATCAATCAAATAAGTACAGACAGGTATTTTAGTAAAGCCAGGAAACTTAACGGAAGTTACGGTGTAACTATGGTTCTGTGAGTTCCTGGATAACTGCCAGTCACAGGGGTCACTGGGAACTTCTCGGGCAAGATGATCCCGGGAGACCCGAACGTAGCTATCGGCGCGTAATTTATAGACTCGCGACCAGGTGCGCTACGTGTCACGTGCGTGACTTTGTTTACATTTGTACTCGACCTGCGCAGAGCACGAGGAGATACATCCACTCTGTTTGCTGCCACTCGCAGTCATCCAGGAACTCACAGAACTCCAGAGTTTTGGCTATAGCAGCTATGAGCGTAACTGAACTACGCATGGACGTCAAACACAAAATACTTCTATAAACGGGACACACTTCTTTCCTGCAAATACAATTTCACAGGTGTTGCTAATACCTATGATCCTTCAAGGGATGTGCTCAAAGAGGAGTTCAACATTATGAATAAAATATAGTGTTTTATTTTACAAATACCATTATAAACACAAACTTACGTCTTAAGAAACATTATTTTAATAACGAAACTGCTAAATTCTTTCCAACAGTATAGATGTGTAGTGTATTTTGTCCGAGTGGGTTTGCCGTACTTTGACGTCATCGGCAGTCGAAGGACCCCGAGCCGATCTTGCACCCGAGCAGATCTTGTACCGACACCGGTATCTTTATGTTGTCCACCTCATTTGCATGCTCGTTAATAGGTGATGCGCTTTTCTGAAGCTTTTCTGAACACGGGCTGAGCCTGACTTTAAATTTGCTTTACTAAGGAGGTACATCTACCTAAAACCGATGGGTTATCTTCCTAAATTACCATCAACTCAAGACCTATTAATGAAAACCTGGATGGATTAAAGATTTGTTCATAGATTAACCGATTCTGGGTTTTAGGGCTTATACCAATTCCTGATGTTTTTGTACAGCATGTTATTAAAAACTCTGGAATGGCTCTGAGAGGACGAGTCCCGGATGATACTCCTGTTGTGTCGTTAACTTTTATACAAACTAGGGCTGCACGATATTAGGAAAACCTGCGATATGCGATAACAGTGATTAATATTGCGATGACTTTACTTGTGATAAATAAAAACTTAACTCAGGAACAAAAATAATCAAAAATTAAAAAAAATGACAAATCATAACAACGAGAAAAGCAAAAGATGTGAGGAAAAGGAAAAAGAAAATAAACAAGAAAAGACAATCAGTGGATCCCGGGAAAAGCAGAATCAGCAGAAAGAGCTCAACAAAGCTAACTCAGGTGTTTGCTAACCATCAAAATTAAGTGCCGTCCACCTCGGGGGCACGAATCTAATCTATGAGAACCCACCCAATTGGCCAAATGGGTGAAGAGCTCCATTTGATTTGTTAAAAAAACATCATGCTTCTGTTTGATTGGCAGAATGTATTGAGCTGACCATTCATTGCGATATTTACAGTGGTGTGAAAACTATTTGCCCCCTTCCTGATCTCTTATTCTTTTGCATGTTTGTCACCCAAAATGTTTCTGATCATCAAACACATTTAACCATTAGTCAAAGATAACACACGTCAACACAAAATGCAATTTTGAAATGATGGTTTTTATTATTTAGGGAGAGAACAAAATCCAAGGGGGCAAATAGTTTTTCACACCACTGCATCTGTTCTTTGCGATATGCACATTGTGCATGCTGATATGCGATAACGATATATTTACGATATATTGTGCAGCCCTAATACAAAGCTATAAAACATGACATCATGTTTTCTCCCAGGGTCCAGCAGGATCTGTGTTGTGAACAAGCCAACAGCAGGACTACCTTGCTGCTCCAACAGCGCGTTCTGCCTCTTCAGGTCGTCGATGTCCTGTTGGTGCGTGTGGTTTTTTCGCCTCATGTACTGAATGTACTCTGTAGCTTTGTCTAGGATTTGAGCTCGAGATGCCTGTTTGGCAGACTGCTGTTAGTGACACATGCAAAAGGTGAAGCCATGACACAGGAACACAACATCATCGTCATTTTATCACATTTTACTCATTCCTGCCTCTGTCTGGATGCTCTAATAAACAGCTTTCATCAACTTTACCCACAAAACCTCCCAAACTAGCTGTAGAATCGGGCTCCTTTCAAAAGGTTATCAGTGAACATCCCGTTGTCCTGTCACCGTCCATGCCCAAATTCTGAACCCAGTCCAAATCTTTTCAATTTCATTGATGTTCAAACAGGAAAAGATCAGCAAAATGTTCTCATAATAGCTTCCTGAAACTAGTCCAAGTGTTTAGACTGCATGGCTGCTGCCATCTGCTCTCCTCCCCGTCCCGTCTACTTCCCTACACTAAAGACTTCCATTTACAGTAAAATCAACATCTTACAAACAGTTATGCACAGAAATCACAGCAGAATTTCTTTGACATGAGTGTGTGTGAATATAATTAGTGAGCTGGGGGACTTACAGGCTGAGCTTTACCAACCTTTTCTCCCTGCAGGGAGGGTACCGAGTCCCGGAGGCTGTGAAAGCTGTCTTTGATATGGTCCCTACGTTTGCGCTCCAGTGCATTGTGGTGTGCCCGTTTGTCTGCCTGCAATGAAAGAGTCACAAGGCCTTCAGAGCAGCGTGGGCAGAGGACGGCGGGCATCCAACACCTACACAACCTCTTCCTGGTATTCATCTTTTGCTGCAGAATCCACCAACGTTGTAATAAAGATTTACAAAGTCACGGTGCTTTAACTTAATCTTAAAACAAACTATTTCATTGTTCTATCGACAGATACAGATTTTAATGGACTAAGCATTGCAGAAATTACTCAACTCCAATCTTAGGAGACATTCAGATGCATTCACAGGTGTAATAAAAGGTTATTTAAACACCAGTTGGTTAAAATTAACCACATAAGGTTTAAAACTTTAGATGAAGTAAAAATCCAAAAGAAGAAACTCTACAGGGTGACGGGACAACAAAAAGTCAGCAACATGTCCGTGTGTGTGTGTGTGTGTGTTTTAAAATGCACATTTAAAGTAATTCTAGAACACTATTTGACAGTAGGAAACTTGTCTTTGAGCCTCTATATAACACATGAAACTTTGTTGGGGCTCAAAATGGCCCAGGAGCCCTGATGAATGGCCAAACACAAGCCCTTATAGGCTGGTTTGCCCCGCCCACTCAGTCTGGTTATGAATATTGAATAAGACGCATGCCGATTGGCCGGAATCTCCTGATAGCTTTAATACTGCCTGAAACTAGAAACTGTACTGTTGTGTTCAGCATCCAAATATCCCAGCACATCCTCTCTGGTACGTTGCTACCTCATCAATGTGTGTGCACAACTCCAAAGGTCTTCCTTGTCATTTTCCTCTCATCCAACAAAAATTCTAGCTGCAGCTCTGGCTAGCATTAGCTATAGATTGTGCTAGTTTTGTTAGCATTAACGCCACCGACGGTTATAAATTGCAGACACTGAAATGGGCTGGGGCATTCAAATTTAAGGGTGTGTGCCTACGCTGAAGATGTGTTCAAGCAGCTTTTCTCAGAATGAACCATTCCTCTGCAGCCATGTCAACATTACTAATTTAGGTTGGCGACGGCACCGACCTTTTGGTACATCCGACACCCCGAGCTACCTATATTCAACCGTAAGGTAAATGTGGCTTTGTAATCCAGAGCATCCTTTTCAAATTATGATTTTAGAAGTAAAAACTTCCACATTACACACCCTCCATAAATGTTTATGTTTATGTATTTAGCAGACACTTTTGTCCAAAGCGACTTACAAATGATAATCGGCATGTTGCCCTTGAGGCTAACAACAACAATAACAACAACAACAACAAATTTCCAGTCAGTCGTAGGTGGCAGTGAGGCAGCATGATGAATCATGGAGAGGAGGGAACAAGGAGTGGACAGTAGAGAGGGGGGACGGGTGCAGGGAGGGTGCTAGTTAAGAAGATGCTCTCTGAAGAGCAGGGTCTTCAGGAGTTTCTTGAAAATTGAAAGGGAAGCCACTGTTCTGGTAGTGCTTGGTAGGTCATTCCACATTTGTGGAACGATGCATGAGAAGAGTGGATTGTCCTGAGCGTGGTGTAGGCACTGCTAGCCGACGATCCTGTGATGACCGGAGCGGCTGGGCCGAGACGTAAGCCTTTGCAAGAGGATTCAGGTAGATGGGAGCCGTTCCATCTCGGACTTTGTATGCTAGTGCTAGCAATTTGAATTTAATAAATCCCACGGAGGATCATAAAAAAATGCTGCAATTCACGTTACACAGCTGCTCTCCCAGAAGGGCATAAAAGATGGCGTACTCTGGCAGAACAAAACGTTTTAAATGTTATCAACGCCCATGGATGACTTAAAGCTGCTTTAGCTAATTTACAAACAAGCTAGGTTTTGAATGCACACACGCAACACTCATCCCTCCCCTTGAGTATCTTTCCTAAGACGCTTCTGCCGGAGGAAACGAGATAGCTCTAAACACCAGTCACCATTTCTAGGTCCAAACATCGTTTGAAACGCGCCACGCCTACGAGATTTGGAACAGACTTGCATCACATGACCGCGGCTATGTAACGAGCCTTTAACTTTTTAAATTGTGTATATGTTTATTAAATTAAAAATATGAGTTACTACCCGCTAGCCACCGAAGCTGCAACTACTAAGCAACTAACCAACCATAGATAACTTCTTTGGATCTAAAAAAAATAACATTTTAAATTATTTGACTTACTTTTAAACTTGAAAATTGTCCCTGAAGTAGCTGCCGGCTTCTGATCCGCCATCTTTTGGAAAATACTGCGGTGTATTCTGGGTAATTTTTGACCAAGGCTAGGCTACACGACACCTCCCGTGAATCCTTGCTCAGCTAGCTAAACAGCTAACAAACGGAGAACACACGCCTCGGTAGAACATGAACATTGGAACATGCAGTGGCGGCTCCCGATGACATATCTCCTAGGCAACTGGGGCGGGGCCAAGACATCAAGGCAAGGTTCCTTGGCGTTGAGAAACACCCTTGATTTTAATCAGCAGGTGATTAAAAGGCTTCTGCAGAGCCCGATGAGCAGTTGAACAGGTGATTCAACTTTGTTGAATGAGGGCGACCTCTAAAACGTGCTGGATAGTGGCTCTCAGGACCAGGGTTCCCTACCCCTGCTCTACGGGATGGTAGGGGCTTAGAAAAATAAATGTACACATTGCCTACATTATATACATGATAAGACTATATTTTTATAGATTTCAAAATATCATACATAACTCCGGATTGCTGCTTTAAGGGTAAAAATAAATTCTGTATATTCAATAAAGTTGTGCAGTTTTTTTTTATCTTTTTAATAACTCGAAAGGCACAAAGTTGGAAAGTTTAAACTCCTAATTGTTGACTTTGCATCAAAACTCTTCCCTCCATAATAGTAGTAGAACTTCTCCAAAACGGAGCCTCAAACGCTTCTTCACTAAATGAAATCTGCGTCTGCACCAACTTACAGGTGCTGGCCAGTAAATTAGAATATCATCAAAAGGTTGAAAATATTTCAGTAATTCCATTCAAAACGTGAAACTTGTACATTATAGTCATGCAATGCACACAGACCAATGTATTTCCGATGTTTATTACGTTTAATTTTGATATTTATAGGTGACAACCAATGAAAACATCAAATCTGGTATCTCAGAAAATTAGAATATTCTAAAGGCCAATGAATAAATGTTTGTTTCTCTAATGTTGGCCAACTGAAAAGAATGAACATGAAAAGAATGTGCATGTATAGCACTCAATACTTAGTCGGGGCTCCTTTTGCCTCAATAACTGCAGTAATGCGGCGTGGCATGGACTCGATCAGTCTGTGGCACTGCTCAGGTGTTATGAGAGCCCAGGTTGCTCTGATAGTCGTCTTCAGCTCCTCTGCATTGTTGGGTCTAGTGTATTGCATCCTCCGCTTCACAATACCCCATAGATTTTCTATGGGGTTAAGGTCAGGCGAGTTTGCTGGCCAATCAAGGACAGGGATACCATGGTCCTTGAACCAGGTGCTGGTGGTTTTGGCACTGTGTGCAGGTGCCAAGTCCTGTTGAAAGGTGAAGTCTGCATCCCCATAAAGTTGGTCAGCAGCAGGAAGCATGAAGTGCTCTAAAACTTCCTGGTAGACGGCTGCATTGACCCTGGACCTCAGGAAACAGAGTGGGCCAACACCGGCAGATGACATGGCACCCCACACCATCACTGACGGTGGAAACTTTACACTGGACCTCATGCAACGTGGATTCTGTGCTTCTCCGCTCTTCCTCCAGACTCTGGGTCCTTGATTTCCAAAGGAAATGCAGAACTTGCTTTCATCAGAAAACATAACTTTGGACCACTCAGCATCAGTCCAGTCCTTTTTGTCCTTGGCCCAGGCGAGACGCTTCTTGCGCTGTTTCTTGTTCAAGAGTGGCTTGACACACGGAATGCGACACCTGAATCCCATGTCTTTCATGAGTCTCCTCGTGGTGGTTCTTGAAGCGCTGACTCCAGCTGCAGTCCACTCTTTGTGGATCTCCCCCACATTTTTGAATGGGTTTGTCGTCACAATTCTCTGCAGGGTGCGGTTATCCCTAGAGCTTGTACACTTTTTTCTACCACATTGTTTCCGTCCCTTCGCCTGTCTGTTAATGTGCTTGGACACAGATCTCTGCGAACAGCCAGCTTCTTTAGCAATCACCTTTTGTGTCTTGCCCTCCTTGTGCAAGGTGTCAATGATTGTCTTTTGGACAGCTGTTAAGTCAGATGTCTTCCCCATGATTGTGGTGCCTTCAAAACAAGACTGAGGGACCTTTTAAAGGCCTTTGCAGGTGTTTTGAGTAAATCAGCTGATTAGAGTGGCAGCAGGTGTCTTCTATATTCAGCCTTTTCAGAATATTCTAATTTTTTGAGATACCAAATTTGGAGTTTTCATTAGTTGTCACTTATGAATATCAAATTTAAATGTAATGAACATTGGAAATACATTGGTCTGTGTGCATTGCATGAATATAATGTACAAGTTTCACGTTTTGAATGGAATTACTGAAATATTTTCAACCTTTTGATGATATTCTAATTTACTGGCCAGCACCTGTATAAAAACGACAGAACGCTGTTCCTATGTGGCAGGGCCTAAAAAGCATTATTCCTAATTTCCTGGAATATTTCTCATCTAACTCATCTACAGTAGAGGAATTGTCTTTTTTATCTTTGAAACAGCTTCCTGGCACACTAACAAAACAAAACAACAAAAAAACGAGAAGTCTGGCAATGTGACATTTCGCTGCCGTCTCTCCATCACCCCAACCTGAGAGTGTACATCTCTCCTTTCTTCTTCTATGAGAACAGACGCCTTTCATGTTCACCAGCAGGTCAAAGGTCACCGTTGACACTCAGATCCGACATGATGAGCCACAAGCTGAATAAAAATGGCTTCACCTGTTTTTACACGTCCTTTTCAGATCATTTTTTGCAGAACCCGTCCCCAATGGTAGAACTAGAGCAGCTTTTCTTGCACGCTTCACCAGATAAAGCCTCAGCAGAACCAGATACCAAACAGGCAGGCAACCCCAACCACATGGTTGCTGTAAAGGTGTAAGATGGCTGCTGCTGTCACATGACCAGAGCCAGGCAGCGGATCAGTTCACTGCCTGTGGTTCGACCCATTTTTAGGCCTAAACCACCAAATCCTCCAATCAAATGTGATTCTGGATTAATCCGGGCTGCTGGGAGACAGACACTAAGCCCAGCTCTCCATCAGCTCAACACACCATTACACACCTTCAACAAAACACACACACGCGCAATCATTACAGCGGCCGTGACGGTCACGAGAGAGCTGCAGACAAGGTAGGAGTCACGTGATGTGGTATCATCGGACTCAAAACAACAAAGTGTCCATGAGTGAGCTGGAGCAGGTCAAAACACGTTTTATAGGTCTGTCTGGAAGGGACGATGTTTGAAGTGCATCTTAAGGTCAAATCAAAACAATAAAAGCCCGTAAATGTAAAATGATCCATGCAATAGGGAGTCTGTGCGACGAATACGAAACCGAAACTAATAAACCCACAAACCGCAGCATGACTACGTCCACTGTCATCAACCAGTGTTGCACAACATCCAGAGGCCTGCCGCCGTAAACACACACGGCTTCTACTGTTGGTTTGTGCAATTACGAGTCTAGCAGCCCTTCTTCTAGAGAAGTCTCAGTGGAAATTTAAAAATGGTTTTTGTTTTTTCACGAGTCCAACCATCGTGGCGCAGGAAGCTAAGGTCTTCTATGTCCCAACTAACCTTGACTAAAAAGCCCCCAAAAGTAAGTTTATCGTCACCAAACGCATCTCTTAATATTTAATTCCTCCTACTCGGCTTTTTTAAGTAAAAAGACGTGCTTTTAACCCAGCGTAAATGGAAATTATCCTATTTTTGTTAGAAATCTAATAAAGGATTTATGCAGCTTTAAGTGTTCAAGGACCAGGTGTGAATAAATCTAAAATTTAATAATTAAATAAATAAAGTAAAACTAATAGAACTTTTCTGTTGGTTTCGTAATTAAAAAGGCTACAAATAAAAGCCTTTAAGCACAAAAATCTCAATCATCACCGACGTTTGCCTGATTACATCCAGCTTTCTGTGCAGATTTAAAAATCTGGGTCCTTTTCAACATTCATTGTCTACTTCAGGTAATTATAATGACATTACATTTATAAAAAGAGATTACAGGACAAACAACCTTACTCCAAATCAAATAGTTTTCCCTTCAGGGATGCATATGACTTGTAAAGCACACAGGCACAAAATAAAAACCTCAGGTGTCCGGTTACCCGGGAGCAGCCATGAAAAAAACCTTAAACGCGACAGCTAAGGGTCTCTTCATGCCTGAAACACGGCATAAGAGCTCCGGGTTTAAATGCTTTCTAGTTACTGAAAAGGCAAAGTTGGTTTTATTGCTAAATGTTTTCCTGACACATATTAAAGTTATGACTTTTACCTCCAACATGTGACCAAAATCAGATGATTTCTTGATAAAATCATCTAATTGTTGCCCAAATTCACTACAAAAGTTGTAAAAGCAACTCTACACCACAAACTGTGTTTTCGTTTAAAAGATTAATTATTTAGCCCTTTGTGTGAGTGCAGCTCTAAAAGGAAAGGAACCTAAACATCAAGTATGTGCAAAAACTTGAGCTGCACAATATTTTGCAATGCAGTTATTGCATTAATTCGTGGACCGTTATCGTGGACGGATATTTCTTTTTTATGCAGGTTTGTTCCAGGCTCTGATTATCAAATAATAACGGACACAGCAAAACCCGTCCATTCGTTGAATCACACAAATATGTATAATAGTATCGTTTAGCAGGAATGATATATCCTATATGTGGTGCATTTTTGCAAAACGCTTTTAATTTTGAGAATTCTGCTTCATGCACCGACCAAGTCGTGCAGCACGCATCCCTCTCCCGGTATGAAATGCAGCTATACGTCATTCATTTAGCACCCTGTGGGGAGAAGATGGCTCTAATCACACAGGAAAACATCCCGCTGCACTCCTTCCTCGCACGAAGCGGCTCCGCCACACCAACCACATTTCCTCCGCATCCTAAACCCACTGGTGCACAACAACAACAAAAATGGAGAAAAGGCATCTGCTTCACGTGATGACCTACATGTAGATTGTTAGTAAACCTGATCAGAAGCGGGACCTCCCCCTCCCTTCTCCTGTCGCTGTAAAGTCAACCGTCGAGGGGGTAGCCTGCTGCCACGAAGCGCAGGCAAACTGCGCAAAAACCGGAAAATAACAGCCGTGCTACACAAAAATCCTTTGTAGCAGGATAAAGCTTTGGTCCAAATATAGACGTCGTGTCACCATCTCCCAGTCGCCGTGTACACACAGCAAGGGGAACACCCTGCAACGCACCAATGACGAGCTACAATCCCCACACTTACACACACACGCATAACTGCTGGTGAAAATGCCTAATTGTGCACAAGCATGATCACTAACTTAGTTTCTCCTTGAGATATTAGAATTCCGTTTATGTTATATAACAATCTCCATGTTGCAATACCATATGCCACAAAAAAGATGGCTTAGAAAATGAACTGATCAGCAGCAGTGAAACATTTTCTCGAGAGTGGACAAATCCCCCCCAAATTTACGCACCACAGAGTGATACCTCGGTGATTCTTCCTGCAAAGAAACAGAACAAAAAGTACAATTGTAGCCAAAACTGATAAGCAATTCTCACTAGTTCGCTGAAGCAACAAGAAAGCAGTACATTTGAGCAAACTAACGATGTTTTTAGGTAAGGCAGGGTTAGTAAGACTCGTAAATGATCTTAGGATCCTGGCTAGAACACTTAAAAAGAGAGCAGCTAGGCAGCTTGAGAGCTAATGGCTAGCTGAGAAGCTAGCTCAGCTAAAGCACCAGATAGCGGAATAGCATCTCTAAAAAGCACAAAGTGGCCATACTCACGTCACTATCGACTTCGATGTCATCGTTATCACTCATTCTTCGTTAAAATAGTTTGTTTGAAAAGGACGGGCGGCTAAAGACACAACATGAATGTTTAGCACCGAGGGGACACCAGCACGGAGAGCTAGCAAACGCAGAAGCAATTCACGTTCTGTTTGGACAGAACTGAGAAGCAGTTTACAGTCTCCACGTGACTACTCTCCACACGCACGACCACTATTGCTAACTGCGCATGCGCGGAATTGAAACGCCATCTGGGAACTGTAGTTTTCTCAAATATTCTTTTGTTTATTTAATCGAAAATCCATAAACTAAAAAAACATTTTTAGTAGAATCTATTGTTTATAGTACATATTTTATAAAATGTGTAAAAATGATTTGAAAATATATTTGGAAGGACTTGAATAATAAGTCTTGCTAGTTTATGAACTACAATACCCAAAGGGCTATTAGACTGACTGTTGCGTGAGCGTTCCCAAGGCTGTTATGTACTCGGGGAGTTGTAGTTTGAGTGAGATTGTATGTCAAAATAACTGAAGAAAGCCATGGCTGAAGACACGTGGATTGTAAGAATAGACTCTGTGTAACATCAGCAAGGCCGCAATCTGTGCTTCAAATGCTACATATCCTATCGACAGGAAGCCTCTCTAATGAAGTGTATTTAAAATATACATAGTTTATTCACTCATAAAAGTTTTAAATGATTAATTCGAGAAGTATAAAGTGTACTCAAAATTTCTTCTTTTTGAGCTTTTTCTTTCTTTTTTTTTTACATTTTACAACTTGTACATTTTTCCATCCATCCATCCATTGTCTGAACCCGCTTTGTCCATGTAGGGTCGCAGGGCTGTGCATTGTTGCCAGTATAAAATATAAAGATAAAAACTAGATTTGAAGTCTTTACATGGATTCATTTTTTATTAGACATTTCTCATTCAAAATGTATGACACTAAAGTCAACCTTCCATTTTCTCATTAAATAGTCATTAAACTTTTTCTGAAAATACATTTGAGGCTGTTCCTAAATTGTATGGGGTCATAATTTGACAGCAGTATTTTGGGTTATTTAGCCTATCAGAAGAGAAAAAAAATGGTGTGAACAAATACTGATTTGGCAAATTAGCTGCTTACCTCCAAAATAAACATTTAGCTCCAAATTAAGTATTTAGTTAATGATTTTTAATGTTGATTTTACAAACAAAATAATTAGGTCTCACCTAAATATTTAACTCTAAATTTAATATTTTGCTTCCTAACTAAATATTTAGATAGGAACTTTAACATTTATAAATGTATGAATAACTTGGTGAAGTCAAAGTCACTTGAGCCAGCATCACACACTAGTGATTTTACATCTCTGCATTTGACCCACATCCATGGGAAGTTGTGAGACATGGCTGCGCTCAGGAACTATTTGGTGGTTTGTGTGTGTGTGTGTGTGTGTGCGTGCGTGCGTGCGTGTGTGTGTGTGTGTGTGTGTGTGTGTGTGTGTGTGTGTGTGTGTGTGTGTGTGTGTGTGTGTGTGTGACTGATTATATCAATGCAAATTTCACATAAACTGCTTCGGTACTTCCCTTTTTCATAAAATAAATAAGGAGCCTACACAGTGGATTATTTGCACAGCAACTGTGGATCAGTAAGTTTGTGCTAAATAAATGAATAAAAATGTGAGACGCTTCATTCACTCCCCCCAACAGGTCGAGAGGTCACATCAGCTGCAGAAGACAGCATGCCTTTAACTGCTTTCCTTGCAGACATGCAGCTTTAGATCTGTACTGACCCTGTCTGGATCCAGGGGTGTGTCCAGGGAGTGGCCTGGGGTAGCAAATGCCACCCTTGGAATCTGATTGGCCACCCCAGGGGCCACTACCCCGAATTCCCTTTAAATAGGCTTTTCACTGTCCACAAAAGGCTTGGGGTAAAACAAAACAACAACAAAAAATAATATAAAATAAGCATAACCATTGGCGCCAGCCATGCACAAAGTTGTGCCTCACCTGGGCCACCCCATTTTAAAAGATCTGGACACGCCGCTGTCTGGATCATCCCCTCCCCTCTCCCACCTCGGCATTCTTACTCTCAAGACTGTTTTGTAGAAGTAAGTCAATCTGTTCTGCATCTGACGAGCCAGAAAGGATCTTTAAGAAATATGGACTGTGATGGCCTAAAACATAACAATAAACAAAAAAATTTAATTATGCATTCCAGCCAGAAGAGCCTCTTTGTCTTCATAGACAACAAGCCACCATCTAGCCTTCATTCTGCACTCACGTTCCCTCAAGGAGTGTCACAGAAAAACTTTGTACTCGAGAAGAGCTCAAAGAAAATAAAAATCTGCTGTGTAGCTGCACCCTCGGTGCTTTCCCTCCAGCCTGAGCTGAGTAATGATGTGCTTTAGCTCTATTTCACAATGAGTCTCATTGCAGGCGACACTAATTAGTAGTAAGGATGAAAAATATATCAAAATTATGCTAAGGAAACTCCAACTGGAGAGGTTAATCAGGTCACAGTTCATCCCTTACTTCTCGTTGACGTGAATATTGTAGCACCATGATTAAAAAAAAGATCATGTATCTAAAACATGCTTCCTAACACTAAAGAGTGAACAAAAACATGAGTTTGTGGGATATGTAACCGACGTAGCAGTCTGCTGTATGTCTTTTTAGAAATCATAATAATCTATTGTGTGAGTTCAAACAGAGCTTTACTTCCATTTAGCATTTTTAAAAAGTGACATTTTTGTGTTGAATTTTATTAAGGTTGAATTATTTTGATCAACTTCTGGTATTAATGGGCTTCAGGAGGTTCTCTCAGAGCCTACATGGTAGCTTCAGCCCCCTAATATGTGAGTCACGGTTAGACTGAGTCACTGGAAATGACTCATAAATGAATTGCAGTCCAAGCAGCTGGATTCAAACGGGACTTTAAAAACAAGCCTTGAAAATACTGAATATGAAGATTGTATCATTGCACAATTTTAAATTTTCTATGCTGGCAAAATAGCACAAAAGGTACCGATGTTTTAAGATTTTAAATAGCTTCATAAAAGTAAATTTTACCAGCAGATCAGATGCCATGTGCTCGTCTTACTTAATGATTTTGGATCTAAAAGCTGCTTGAACTACTGAAACTCACCAGAACAGAACCGGTTCCATGCTGGCGCCAAACTGGAAAAGGAACATCTCAGGTGTTTGAGTTTGACGCCGCCTTTTTCATGACTCATGATAAATTATTCCCAACAGAATGCCGTCTGTGCTGTATTTCTACTCATAATGAATTTACAGTAAGTGCAGACACATTATTAAGCTAATAATGGTAGCCTGCAGTTTGCCTTTTCACCACATGATGGCGCACTGCTGGGTGGATTCTAAAATTGACTCCCCTTTAGTCTCTCAAGAACATAAAAAATTAGACCCTAATTTGGAAGTTAAAGCCAAAAATTACCACACTGCCTCTAGTGACTGGCTGCAGAACAATGTTTAAGCCCTGCCCCCTTCTAAACAATTTCCTCACTACGAAACAAATATACACCTCTAAATGGTTTCCAGCTGTTTTTTTTCCTTTGCTGCATGTTCATACATTCATCAAAGTCTTTTGTTTCTGAAAAGTTATTTGATGTTAACTTTCAGCACCACATTCTGGCTCCACAGATGCAACACGGTCCATCCATCCATCCATCCATCCATCCATCCGAGTCAGAGGGAGGTAGGAGCAGATCGTGACAGTACCCCCCCCCCCCCCCCAAGGGGCGGATACCAGACGTCCACAAGAACCACATACTCGGAAGACACAGGGACTCAGGAGACTCGTGACGTAGACTCTGGAAACACTGGAGACTAGGGAGACTCGGGAAAAGAGGTAGGAAAGTACAAATTCTTCAAAAGAGGTAGGAAAGTACAAATTCTCCTAAAGAGGTAGGAAAGTACAAATCCTCCTAAAAAGGTAGGAAAGTACAAGTCCTCCTAAAGAGGTAGGGAAGTACAAATCCTCCTAAAGAGGTAGGAAAGTACAAATCCTCCTAAAGAGGTAGGGAAGTACAAATCCTCCTAAAGATGTAGGAAAGTACAAATCATCCTAAAGAGGTAGGAAAGTACAAATCCTCCTTAAGAGGTAGGGAAGTACAAATCTTCCTAAAGATGTAGGAAAGTACAAATCATCCTAAAGAGGTAGGGAAGTACGCATTCTCCAAAAAGGTAGGGAAGTACAAATCCTCCTAAAGATGTAGGAGAGTACAAATCCTCCTAAAGAGGTAGGGAAGTACAAATCCTCCTAAAGAGGTAGGAAAGTACAAATCCTCCTAAAAAGGTAGGAAAGTACAAATCCTCCTAAAGAGGTAGGGAAGTACAAATCCTCCTAAAGAGGTAGGAAGGTACAAATCCTCCTAAAGAGGTAGGGAAGTACAAATCCTCCTAAAGAGGTAGGAAAGTACAAATCCTCCTAAAGAGGTAGACATTTTAGAAAATTGGAATTTGAAAATACGTTTAGCTGTTTCCTGCTTTAATTTTAATATTTTGGAGTATACATCATTATAAAAGAATGGGACAAATTCCTAAGGAGCTGATTATTTTTGCTCACTTAAAAAACTAAATTTAAACTCCTGAAATCAGACATTGGTTCTGTTAAAGTGTGAAACGATGGTCTCTCCTGAGGAGGTGCACTAGGTGGCACTTGGGTACAGCTAGGTCAGGGTGTGATTTGTGACTAGATTTAAGAGAAAGGTTTGGTGCAGGAGAGAGGAGTAGAGAGGACTCCCCGATCCAGCAGGTAAGCAGACACATCTGTCAGGTGTAAACTACAACCAGGTCTTGTTTCTGGGGAAATCGCTTTCCTGTGTTTCTTCTCTGCACCCCTGACCTCTTCAGTAGGTGTCTAATTCTCACCGTCGCTTCCATATCTCCTCGAGACTCTTTCCTCTGGCGCTCATATTTAGAAGTGTGAAACAGACGTGAGAGTACATTAGTGTTCAGCGTGTGTGCATGCCTGCAGGGAGGATGTGGTTGTCATTTCATTTTTTTTGTTTTGTTTTGGAGATAGAAGCTGAAACTTTAAGGAGCCTGAGAAGCACCAACTACCGTGGAGTTTTGCTCAGTGACGCACAAATGCAACATATCTAGGTTTTCGGTGATGATAAGCTCTGATTTCTGTGTTTTACAGCTTCAAAAAAACAAAAATGATCCTCAGGAGTTTGGAAAACTGATTTCTACCTCCTTCAACATGCTCTTTTGCTTTTGCAAAGACTGGAAAACTCTTTCACCCTCCAGTTTTCTAGAATGCATTCATGTGTTTGCTTTTACCGTTATTGTCATTTTTGTGAATAAAAAGTATGAAAAATCCATTTTTTAAACCTAGTGAGCAGTTTTAAAATCAGCTTTAAGTGCAGCTGAGAACAAGAAGGATTTTCTGATTATGTTCAGTTAAAATACTTATAAAATGTTGATTTTTAAAACACCTTGACGTCAATTTCTGCAACAAAAGAATGCCAAGACTCTAAAGATGGTGTAATATTAGCGTAGAGGATCTGATTATTGTAAAATCTCAACTGTACTTTGAACTAAAGGACTGAGGCCAATCTTATCATGGTCTTGACTAAAGAAAGTCGTGCTTATCAAACAGCTGACCCTCTGTTCCTTATGTCAGCTGAACAAAAGGAACAAGAGACGACGGACGGACAAACTGTTGGATGGTGAGTTTTTCTTTGCACTAAACGGTCGTCTGTGCAGCTTTAAATGATTTTCACGTACACTTTCAGCTGCTTTATTTGCTCTGATGTTTTGGGATTGTTTGAGCCTCCATCTATTTGCGTCTCCAGTTGGAGCCCAGAACACCCAGTCCCGCTCTCATCATGGACCAGGCTGCTGATTTCTGGCATGAAGACGGCTTTTCCTTCAACCAGACGGAGGCCAACGTTACCTCGGTCTTTCAAACATTACTGAGCCCTACCATGGACAAAGTCGTAAACATACTTACGATCCTCGTGCTGTTCATCACCATGGTTTCACTGGGATGCACCATGGAGGTGTCCAAGATCAAGGTCGGCAGCACACAAATCCGTCTGTTTCAACGTGTTTGGGAATCATTGTTAACGTGGTTGTTCACGGATCTGCTTTTCCAGGATCACATACTGAAACCTAAAGGTGTGGCCATCGCCATTCTGTCCCAGTACGGTGTGATGCCTCTCACCGCCTTCTGCTTGGCAAAGGTCCGTTCTGCAGCTTTACCTTCAAATATAGATTCAAGAGTTTGTTTGCATCTTTATTCTAACGAGGCGTTAAAGTATATTTAACCACACAGAAACAGTCCCATGCAGGCTCATTAGTATGAATAACACCTATCCTACGAGGACTGCTGTTCGAACAGCCCTCATGCTGTCATCAGTTTGCTCCTTCATGTTGTGTTTCAGGGCCTCCAGTTGGATGAAATGACAGCTGTGGTGATCCTGATCTGTGGCTGCTGTCCCGGAGGAGCTCTCTCCAACATCCTGGCTCTGGCTCTGCAAGGGGACATGAATCTCAGGTACACACACACACTTGTACAGTAAAGGTCAAATTACTTATTTTTTAGATCTGTATGGATCACACCATAGGCTGCATGGTGGCGCAGTTGTTAGCACTGTTGCCGCGCAGCACGAAGGTTGCAGGTTCGAAACTCGGCTGCGGCCTTTCTGCGTCGAGTTGCGTGTTCTCCCCATGCATGCGTGGGTTTCCTCCGGGTACTCCGGTTACCCCCACAGATCATGTCTTATTGTGTTAAATGGTGTAACTCGTGTGGAGGCAGTTGTTGCTCATGTGCTGCTGCTAAATTAGCCTAATCTCTTAAATCTGAGGCTATGATGATGAACATATGCTGCTGCTAGCTATTTGTTTCCCTCCCTGTCAGAAAAAAAACTGGAGTTTTTGTTTACATGACAAGCTGCAACTGGAAAAACTAGCTACTGTGATTTCTCCTCCGCTCAGGTTCAACTCCCACATGTGCAAGCAGCCTGGAAGGTTAATCACTAGTGTTGGCATGAACTAATGTTAAAGAGCAAGTCACCCCCAAATCAACTTTTTTTCCTGATAAACTATATAAATGTGTGTCTAATCGTGCTGCAGACACGTGTAGTCAGTAGTTTTGTACTTTAGTGCATTTTTGTTCAAATTTAAATTTTCTGCCTAAAACTGTCAGTGTTGTGCCGTTGTCGGGTAAAAACTCTGCACTGCATTTGAATTTAAATCTGCCATCGCTATTGGCTAAGAGGTACCCTAGAACGTTAGCTGGTACCATATGATGTCACAATGTCGTTGTGAGCCTGTGTGTGTGTGTACTTGTTAGCGGCTCCACTCTCTCTGTCTGCTAGGCAACAGCATTTGTTGCATTTTTCAAACAGGAAGTGGGAGTGGAGTAATACTTTGGTAGGGGGTGACTTGCTCTTTAACAAATTTGTTGCATTAGTCAAGTTTTAAACCATCACTGATCCACTTAGTAACTAGCACCTAGCTGCTACTTAGTTTGCCTTGATTCAAACAAGCAGAGAAACAGGATGACTTGTCTGATGACCTTAATCAGCAGAGTTCAACAACCTCATTTATCATTAGAGTTGAATGACCAGCAGGTCATCACAACTCGGGTCATAAAACAGAAAAATGATCATAATAAGATGACAGCAACCCCCTTTGCTATCAACACCTATGTCCTCCCACCCATATGTTTGTTCTTTTTGTAGAGGCAGGAGTGTACTTTATGGTGTTCCCGTTGTTCTGGACATTCCCACTCTATCTGATGTCTGAGCGGCTGCTTGACACGATCATTTAAGCAATAAAACCAACTAAAGCACAGCCCTTACAAGATGGATTCTTTCTAAAACCGTCAATCATCACTGTCGGTTTGTGAGACAAAATAAGAAATTGCCAAAAAAAAACAAAAACAAAGTTGTGTTTAAAAGTGAGAAACAAATATTTTTTTTTACTAGTAATTGACTCAAAAAGGTGGAAGAAGGCGATTTAAAATCAGGTTTATTGCCAAATGTATTTGCAATTGAAAAAATAAAAATGTGAAAATGTTCTTGCTATAGAAATTGCATCTCTCATAAATTTTAATCAAACGCGTGTAGAAGATTTTTGCTGTTCTTTTCATTTTTTTCATTTAATTTCTGTATTTAATAGGGACAGTGCATATTAATGAACTTCAACAATAAATTGCATCAGTAAATATGCCAGACTGTAGCACCAGTGCCAATTTACATCTGCATCCCTAGGCAGGTAATAAAAGCAATAAAAGAAAGTAAAGTATTATATTTAAAACTAGGAAAAACAGAAAGAAAACACACAAAACACCACTGTGAGGACAAATTAGTGATGGATACAGGTTTGGTTTTCCTTCAACCATTGTTTAAGTTTGAATTTGAAGGAACTGTATGATTGTGAGTCTCTTATGCTGAGTGGTAGACTATTCCAGTATTCAGTCCCCTTAACGGACAGTGTGGTCTTGCCAAAAGCAGTGTGCCTGTAAGGCACCTCACAGTCTCCTCTATCTGTGGCCCTGGTCGGCATTCCACTGATAGACCGTGATTTAATAAAATCAGTCAGGGGGAAAGGGGCTAGTCCATATAAAACCTTCTAAGTCTTACATGACTCAGTGGCGGAGCCTGGTGGTTGCTTTGGTTATTGCATCTAACAACATAAAACAAAGCTCCAAAAAGAGAGAAAAAAGTAGTGACATGTTTCCGCAGCATCGTGATGACCTCCTGCTCCACGCTGCTCGCTATGGGGATGATGCCTCTCCTGCTCTACGCTTACTGTCAGGGCTTCTCCAACCTGCAGAAAGCCATCCCTTACGTTGACATCGTCATCTCCCTGGTCCTGATCCTGGTGCCCTGCGGTGTCGGCATCCTCATCAACCACTACAGACCACGGTATTCCAAGATGATCACTAAGGTGAATGCACGCTTGCAGGGGTGTGGTGGATTAATGAATGGTGGTGAACTGGCTTCAGCTAAATCAAAACCTTTGGTTGCTGTATAGAAGACACAAACACTGATCCCGAGTCTGATTGGCCTCCTGTTCAGGTGGGCCTGGGTATAATGCTGATCTCAGTTCTGGCAGTTGGCGTCATTGCCAGCATAGAAATCGGAGGGTCCATGCTGGCTGTGCTGTCCCCCCCACTCATGACCACTGGAGCCCTCATGCCCTTCATCGGCTACGTCTTCGGTTACGTCATCTCCTCACTCTTCAGACTCAGCCAGGCGTAAGTCAGATTTGCTTGGGAGCTTTGGATCACATCACTCTCCGTATGAGCCCATTGCCTATGTAAAAGTCTACCCCAACGCCTTTAGGGAGCGGAGGACCGTTGCTATGGAAACAGGCTGTCAGAACATCCAGCTGTGCAGCACCATACTGAAGATCGCCTTTCCCCCATCAGTAATCGGGCCTTTGTTCCTGTTCCCCATGGTCTACATTTTCTTTCAGCTAACGGAGGCGGTGGTGCTCATCTTGGTTTTCAGGTGCTACAAAAGGTTCACAGAGAGGAAGAAAGGTGAGACTAACAACTTATATTCAAGTAAGACATTTCTCTCTTTGGAAGGCTAACAGATTAAAAGTGCAAGTCACCTCCAAATCAACATTTTTTTTTCTTTTCTGGTAATAAATGCATGTCTAATCGTGCTGCAGACACGTGTAGTCAATAGCTTTGCACTTTTTCTGCCTAAAACTGTCAGTGTTGTGCCGTTGTCAGGTAAAAACTCTGCACTGCATTTGAATTTAAATCTGCCATCGCTATTGGCTAAGAGGTACCCTAGATCATTAGCTGGTACCATATGATGTCACATCATTGTGAGCCAGTGTGTATGTTAGAGGCTCCACCCTCTCATGGGCCATTCCCATCTGTACCGGGTCGGCCCGGGCCGGGTAGCGTAGGTTGTTTACATATCTGGGTGGCCTGGAATTTTCCCGGGCCAACCAAGGCTCATTCTCGGCCCTCTTCCCGAGGGGTACTGCTTCAGGCCGACCAGGGCCAATACGCCCACTGCTGACAGCAAATTCACACCTTCCATTAGAGCAAGCCTCTGATTGGTGGGTAGAATCAGCCCATTCACACCTTCCATTAGAGCAAGCCTCTGATTGGTGGGTAGAATCAGCCCACATGGGCTTAAGGCAAGGATGTGTGGAATCAACCGGGCCAGGCTGGGGCCGACTGGGGCTACCCGGCCCGGGCCGACCCGGTACAGATGGGAATGGCCCACTACGCTACCCGGCCCGGGCCGACCCGGTACAGATGGGAATGGCCCATTAGTCTGCTAGGCAACAGCATTTGTTGCATTTTTCAAACAGGAAGTGAGAGTGGAGTAATATTCTGTTAGGGGGTGACTTGCTCTTTAGGGTCAGTAATATCCTGATTTGAATTTCTCTTAAGGGATGATTTTTATATTTTACATCACAATAATTGGCACTTGCTGCACGTAATCCTTGGATTCTCCACCAGAGGGGACGTCCAAGTGGTTCACGAGGAACGCGCCAATCCTGTTAGAAGTCTTACATACTTCCCTTTAACGTTTCTTAGTGCATTAATAAGCATACAGCTAATTTTGTACTTGCTAAAGCTCATTAGGTGCTGCAGACATCTAGAATAAAGCTTGTTTAGCTTTATCCACAGACTAGTTCTTCTGCAGTTTGCTAAAGATCCACGTCTCTGATCCACAGATGAATACCAACCAGCAGCTACTGGAGACCAGCAGCTCCCCAAACTAGCTGCCTGAAGAACCTTCTGACTCATTTAAAATCTAGCAGGTGATAAACGTGTCGTTTGTGTCCCACCACAGCAGCAACAAAGGCAAACGTTTTGTTAAAACTGATTTATTGGTTCAGTCTAGTTGTTTTATACACCATACAAACATCTATTTTCACTGAAAATAAAATCCTCACGTACAAAAAAAAAAAAAAAAAAAAAAGTGTTTTCCAAACCTTTGTCTTGTCAGAGCCGCGGAAACGTCAGTCACACAACCGAGTATCCTTGGAATTACATCACAACACTCAAAGGGCTGTACACTCATGTCAAATAAAAAATGCATTTCCTGCACAGCATCTTTTTACAAGTCCTAACGCATAGCATTCATGAAATGTGTTCACCTTACAGCTGCTTGCTGGAATAAAGTAATTGTATTCTTGAGACAGAAGCTGCCAAAGTTGTTTTGGTGCTTAAAACAGAAATAAAAGGCTGAGTGTTTACTTTGATCCCAGCTGTGGTAAGATGGGTGATGCGTTAAATATCCTGAAACACGTCGTTTATAAGAACTGATTGTTGTTCTGGGAGGAAATGATGCTGTTGAGCCTGATAACTTGTTTATTTTACTGACGTAGAAAACAAGACGTTCTGATTCAGGGGGATTATTTAATCGGAGTTAAACTAATCGAGAGCGTCACAGAAAACCACCCCCTCAAACAAAAACAACAACAACCTAAAACAGAGAAGGGACGAGCTGGATTCCTCATTTTAGCGCTGGCTGTCAGTGGAAGGGGAGCGGGAGCGCGAGCGAGACCGGGAGCGTGAACGTGAGCGGGAGTTGGAGGCTCTCTGAGCAGGCGGCGGGGAGGATGGGGTGACGGATTTACTGGTCTTGGAGGAGCGCTTGTTGGGCTCCTTTGACTTTGGGCTCGGGGAGGAGGTGCCGCCTGCAGGAGAACCACTGTGGGAGCGAGAGCGGTGATGGGCCTTGGCGGGGCTGCGGGAACGCCGAGGGGAACGCGACTGAGAGCGGCCACGGGAACGAGACCGGGAGCGAGACGAGCTCTCCGAGCGGGAACGACTTCTGGACCTGAAACAGAAACAAGAGAAACAAATAAATAAAAATTCCTCTGGTTTTTAAACCTTAATTCAGCTTTGAAACACAAACCTCTTCTTGGCGGCTTCGATGAGCTTGATTTTCCTACCATTGATTTCCTTTCCAGCCAGTTTCTCAAGGGCATTTTTCAAATCACTATGGGACGCAAACTCAACCACCCTGGGGAAAGACAAAAGAGCGTTACTTTACACATTAAATAAACAAACACTGATCCAATGGTGCCGCCGGAGATGCCTTTACCCTTCGTTGAGCTTGGGACGGTGTGCGTCTGCGAATGTCACCTCTCCAGCTTGTCTCATGAAATCTTTCAGATCCTACATACGTAAACGTGCGTGAGTTTTCGGAGTGGCTCGGAACACAAGCACAAAAAACTGGATTGATTTACCCAAAAAGAGAGATGGTTAGATTAAAAATAAATACTGCAGATAAAGAGGATGGGTCCAAGAAAATCAAAGTCTGTTCAACCAACCAGCTTTAATGAAATAAAAACGATAAAATACAACATAAAAATGAAAAAGATATACATTAAATGTTAACATAAATCAGTTATAACAGGATTAATTGGTTTGTAAAACAGCTTTGAGGTCCTTGAACGCACCACTCGATGCACTAGAGAAAGATGAAGACCATCTGCATGGACTGAACATCAGAGGCATCTCCTGGGCGGCATCTGGCACCAAGTTTCCCATTTGGGGGCACAGGGCTCGGCGCCGGGACCGCCCCTGCCTCGGCACCCCACCTCAGTAAAGAGAGTGAACAGGGTGGAAGAGAGGAAACTACTACCTGAGAGCGGAACACTTTGGGGTGGGCCGCAGGCTCCCCGAGCCCACCATAATCAGGACAACAGCAGAATATTTCCACGGGCACCTGGGAGGAACTCACGCTCTCTCGCGATGTGCGGGAACACCACAGGGGGAAGGGAGGGGGGGATATCGATCGAAGCCCCTCAAATTAACGAACCATCGATCAATACGCCACCACCATCATCATCACCATCGACTCTCGCTCTCTCCTCTGCTTTCTCTCTGCCAACTCTGTTTCCTCTCCCCCGCTCTCAACCACACAGCAGGCGTTGCGAGCGAGCGAAGGGCCGCCAGCGCCTCTAGTGTGGAGCGAGCGCTCACATGACCAGCAGGCATCAACTAGGAGTAGGACACACTGGCTGACAGCACAGGCTCAACCCAGACAGAAGGACCCAGAAGGGGTTAACTCCACCAAAAGCGAGCTCTTCCATATGACACAACAGTCAGGCTGGCAAATAAAGGGGTGAAGAATTGGTTAAAATTCGAAAACAAGAACAAATTTGGTGATTTTCTTTTGTTGTGACTGCTCTGAGTTTCACTAAACTGCATTAAATACTGATCATTGCTTCTTTTAGGCCTTAAATCATAAATTACTGAACATTTCTCACTAATACTACTACTGATCTGATTTCATAAATACAAAATCTCAGTTGCTTTGTTTTAGCAGCCAGAGCTATAATTATATGTTTACTTAGTTGAAGGCAGACAACTGAGGGTGAAAATGTTTGTAATTTTTGAGCTTTAAAAGAGAATACTGACCTGCCAGCTGACGCGAGAGGACAAGTTCTCTACAATCAGACGGTTCTCGGTGCGCATCGGTGGAGGATTCCTACGGGGAAGACAAAAATCGTAATCACATCGGGGGTGGGGGGGGGGGGGGTGGCGCTGGGCTCCCAGCAGTAAACTCATGATTTTTACCTTCGACTGTTTTGGGAGCCTCTACCATAGCGATCAGAGAAACGTCCTCCTCCGCCACCGCCGCCTCGGCCACGACCACCTCGCAGACGCACGCGAGCGTGCTCAATGGTCACCCTGTCATAGGGGAGGTGAGTACAAACAGTTTACATTTAAACATTACATGTTTTAGGACCTCCTAACATTTAGATTTCTACTTTTGTCTACCAAATGCAGCTCAAAGACCTACCACTATAGAGTTTCTGAAGATTGAAAGCACAAGATAAATTCATACACCAAGTAAATTAATACCTCTAAAACCACAGAACAAAAACACATTTGCTACCTTTCATTGCATAGCTCTTTGCCATCAAGCTCATACACAGCATCTTCAGCGTCTCTGGGATCATCAAACTCCTGCAAAAATAAAAATAAATGAATTATAAACATTATTATTATAATCACAATTCTAAAACATTTTGCCTTAATAAAGTGTTTTTTATATAAGCCCCTAGCGATATTGCAGTAAAAAAATAATTGGATTTTTGCCTTGGCATCACGCTAATTGGTTGATTTTGCGAAATGTTTATGCTTGTTCAGTGGTTTGATGAGAACGGGAGAGCAAAAATCCCCCCTACATAATTTATAGTAACTGTCACACGTGACTAGAAACAATGCATGAAAGCTTTATTATTAAAAAAATTAAATCAATCACCTTACGAGACTACATGGTGGTCAGAGGGACCGGTGGCGCCTGTGCTCGGCAGCCTTGCCTCTGTCAGTGCCACCCAGGGCAGCTGTGGCTACATCGTAGCTCATCACCACCAGTGTGTGAATGTGCGTGTGAATGGATGAATGATACACTGTAGTGTAAAGTGCTTTGGAGTCCTTACTCTGAGAGGCGCTATACAAGTGCGGGTCATTTATCATAAAATGCAGCAGGGTGTTCCGTTAGCTTGCGAATAAAAGGGCTAACAGAAATCGGCTAACGCTAGTTAGCTCGGAGGGCTAAAAAGGTTAAGCAGGCCTCGGATATAAACATGTTTAACCAAAACTCGTTAGCAGGATTTAACGGACACGTGTGAAGCTTACTTTATCCCTGCATCACCAAACTTTTTTTTTTTATTTTGGGTCTAGCAGCGCACGGTCCATTTTAGCAGAACCGCAACATGAGCTTCACCCACTTCCCGCTGCTCACTCACCACGAAGCCGAAGCCTCTCTTTAGGTCGATGTCTCGAATGCGTCCGTATCCTTTGAAAAACCTCTCCACGTCCTTCTCTCTGGCCGACGGGCTCAAGCGGCCGATGAAGATGCGACATCCACTCATTTTAACTCTTAAATTAGCAAAAAGGAAAAACCAAATGTTAGCTTACTTTGTGCAGCGCTAGAGCTAGGCCTAGTGCCGCTCAACTGAGTCACTACTTTTATTCAATGACAGATAAAAAATACAAATTAGTTCATAATGTATGTCCTTTAAATAGTCGAACACAAACCTTTAAAGTATTGTTGCGCTAAGATTATTTCTCCGACTATCTCACCAAGACGAACTGAAACAAAATGGCGTCTCCGTTCATTCGGGGCGGGTTCTCGGAAAACTGAAATCCCACGTGACCAGCCACGTTCCTAGAAACTGCAGAATGCGAATAAAAACCGAGAACACCCGAAGTTTGCCGAATAAGACTGGTCTATTCGGTGCTATTTTAGACCACTAGGTGTCTTGCAGACACAGGAGCGCCGATTTAAAACAAAGCGCTGCAACAAAAGAACAGAATACATAATTAAACCCACAGAAACCCATAAATCTAGCTTTTACACAATGAACAGTCGGCCTTAAGAGAAAATGACAAAAGTAGAGTCCCCCACAGCTCTCTAAAACTCAACAGCAAGGCCTGTTAAAATGACAAATAACGATATTTCATGTAAATATTCACCCTCCTTGTAAATGATTGACTTTCAAAGATAAAATGTGTTTGTTTTACACTACAGTTGGTAAAATATGACACAAATGGACATGTTACACCTCACTTCTTTGTGTGATTTGCATTAGTGTTTAGTGAATCATGCTAGAGGAGCAGTCGTTCTAAGTGGCAGAGGAAAAACAAGATTCAGGCCTCCTGGGATCTGATCGAAAGAATCGCGTTTCTGTGACACCCACAAGCGACATGAAAATGAACAAACTTCACAAGATCGTCCACATTTAAAAGAAAGCTTTAATTAGAAAGTTATATACACACTGTAAAATTAAATTAAACTTTATACAAATATTAAATTACTATTTTCACACCCACCGCCATGTACAGAGGAGAAACCAAAAGCTTAAAGCATAGAAATTAAAAATCAGTACGAGTACTTTTACCTGTTATTTTTGGGGAAATAAACACCGTACAACAGTGCTTCTGAGTCTTTTTGTTTCTTTTCAACCCCACTGTAATAAAATGCCACGTAGCAAAATAAAAAGTCAAGAAGTAATGAAATACAGGTGCTTGTAGGCTCATCATCATCATCATCATCGCAACAGCTGGGAAAGCTAGGGGAGGACAGAGAGGGACGGACATTCGTTTAGTTGTGCCCACAACAAAAGTAAACTCGTTGATAAACAGACAGCTTATGCATAGAATAGAAAAAGAATAGAGTAAGGCCATCAGGATAACAACACATTGCAATACTGTAAAATAACCAATTTGGAGACTTCAGATTACACATGAAGGAAAAGAAAAGTCTAAGGCAACATCTTGTCTGCTTGAATAATGTAGCTGTTAGCAAAGAACCAACCAAATACCCGAGAACGGACATTCAGACGCTTCAGATTGTTGTTGTTTTTAATTCTTTCAAAGCATTTGAGCATGAAAAGTTATTCTCAGAGTCTTGCTGTTTCCACGGTGACCAGCTCAAACACCAAAGCTTTTTAAGTGGCTATGAAAACAAGACAGAAAACACAACTCCGTCTTACATTTGCACTTGGTATTAGAGGAGCGAGTGTGTGTGTGAAGGGGGCTTTGGTGCTATTAAACAAAACAAAACAAAACAAATAAAATCTGTTCTTTTTTCACTGCAACCAGTTGCAGCTCGGGCTCACAATTCAAAACACTAGTCTTTATTTCAGCATGAAGAAGGGCGTGAGTGACTTCCTCTGAGGAGCAGATGAATGAATGAACAAGCCGGTCCCCCCCTCAATCAACCCAGGAGCTGCAGCAGGAAATAAAAAGCGGGTCTTTTTATAGTCGTGATGTGGTGCCTGATGAAACGCCGTGCCACTTTTAGCTTTGATGACACGGCTGTCGCTCGCGCTAATCCGTTTGCCAGACGCTGACAGGACACACAGAGTTACAAAGAGACAGAAGAGGCTTCATGCTTCGCTCAGAGTGTGTGGCGACAGCGATAACAAAAATAAAAAACACATGCAGCATTCTCAAAGACGGCCGCCAAAACGCAGCCGTAACTCGCACTTTTTTATTCAAGTACAGCGGGAAGACGATTCTGAGCGCCGCGGCATCAGGAGCTGAACATCAGTAATCCCGTACAGCCATGATAACTTCCTGTGAGCAGTGTCGTAAGGTTTGTACACTGGGTTAGAGGCAAGATCACGCTAAAACCTAAGCCTGACTCAGGTTGTATCTGATGACTCAGGTTCACGTCCACTTGGTGGTGTTTGTCGGGCTCGTCTTCAGTAGCGGGGTCCTGTGGGGCTCCATCGTTGCTTGTGTTGCAGTACTGATGTCGGTAGTTGGCTTCGCTCTGCGTTGCTAATGAGGGACGAGGGGGCATATGGGAGAACGGACATTGTTCCGGTCACTTCTCTGTTGGCTGCTGAAGAGTGGAAGCAGGTCGACAATCGGTCGTTGGAGCCAGCAGCAACAGATTAGGAGAAGGAGTTGCTGCTGAGGCTGATAACGGACCAGGAGGCTTCATGCTTCCTTCAGCAGGGGGATGTCTGCAGGGGGAACACGCAGCTTTAGCTTCTCACTGCATTTCCCATTAGCTTTTAGCTTTAGCCGAGTCAATTCATGCAACATTGTTTTATAAACACCCCAGAAAAAAAAACTGCTTAACACAGAAACGGCTTCTTACCATCGGAGAAGTCATCCGTAGAGGTGACAGAAAGCAGACTGTGCTGGTCGCTGCTTTCAGAGTCTCTGCGGAGAGGTAGGGGGCGAGCACAAGCACCCCCAGGGTGCTCTCTAGCCCAGGATGACGATGAGGAGGAAGAGGAGGAGGGTGCCTGATGAACCAGCACTGCCTCTGCGTGACGGTGGGAGAAGGATGATGAGGAGGTTGAAGGGAGACAGAAGTCTAAGTCTGTGTGGTGGCGAGATCTGCTGGAGCTTTGGCCTCCGGCAGCGCCCTGAGGAAGCCCTTCAGAAAAAACGATGGGGACTCGTGACTCTGGGGGAGCTGCGGGGGGCGGTGGAGAAGGTGAAGGACCAGATGCATTGCTGGGGCCACTGCTACCATAGACAGCCTCTTCATAGGAAGGCAGGGTCACCTGGACGCCCTCCACCATGATGGAGCTGGACTGGCCCGAGACGCCCTGCTCCCTCCTGGAGAACCGGGACAAAAACAAAAGACAAACGACGTTTTTATTCCAGAACCAGAGTCATCAAGCAGGATCGGCTTTATTTTTGCATCTTCAGCGTGCAGAACTAGACATACGTGAACTCAACCGAAACTACAGATCAACCGGTGTGTTAACTGGTCACACGTGTAAACTCTTTTATGAGTGTCGGAGTTATTCAGAGTTTCTGGTAAAGAAGTGAGGAGCAAACGGGAAGGCTTAGAAGATCTCAGCAGAGACCAACGACTGTAAGCACAGAAAACGTCCTCCTAGACTTACCTGTTGTGATGGAAGGACTTGAGCTTTGGCTGAACTAGAACAAACAGCACCACCAGGAGCAGAATGAGGGCCACGGGGCTGGCCGTGGACGCCACGATAGACAGAGCTGGGATTCCCAACTGGGAGCTCGGTTCCTTATCTGAGGGACGCACGGAGACAGGATGTGAAATGAAAACGTGGCTCGCTGAAAGGAAAAGAAAACGGATGAGGAGGGATACGGACCTTGGGTCAGTCTGCAGCTGATCTGCATGGGGCGGACCCACTCGCCGTTCTCACAAGTGAGAAACTTGGAGTCTCCCTTCAGAGCGTAACCCTCGTCGCAAAAGTACTCGATGACGGTCCCGTCGACCAGACGCTGGCAGGGGGAGGGGTGACACCGGTAGCCCCCGTTCTCTGGCTGGGTGGGTGGAGAACACGCTGGAGAGAGAGAAAAGGTATTTAATCGTTGCTGGGCAGAATAAGAGGCCTTGGTTCCACCTGAGTTAGTCTGAAATGACCCAGAACAGCTCTAAACGTCTGCTGGTGTGGTACAGTGTAGCGCTGCAGCAGCACTCGTGTGTAAGAAGAAACAGCCAAGCTCACCCAAACGATGTTCTTAGCCCCGTAAAACCAAAATAATCATCCTGACAACAGAAAGAGACGAAGAGGCTAAAGTCGCTCACTGTTGATGCAGCTGGGAGGTTTGGACCAGCTTCCAGAACCTTTACAGATGATGGTGGTCGCTCCATCTGCCGTGTATCCTTGGTCGCAGACGTATTTCAGACGGTAGCCAGAAGGAAAAGAGCCGCGGTTGGATTCGGTCTGGTTGAGCAGGTATCCATGCTGCACGCCAAGTGGCTGCGCACAACCTGGAAGACACAAACCAGGAAGAGCGGGATCACAGGCTGGAAATGGTTCTGGGCCATTTTTGAACGGGACGCGACTGGATCTCCTCCACGTAACCAACTCCCCGCTGCAGACCAGCAGCTGAGTCGGGATTAATAATGAGGAGAAGCACCTCAGACAGGATGTGGGTCCTAATTTTCTGTCTTAATCTGGGATTTCTATGGATTTGAGGAAATGTTTAGCATTGAAAAAGTAAAAAAAACATCACCTACATAAATGGGTTTTTACACACACACACGCGCACACACACACACATTGTGGTAACATGCAGACGGATGGCAGCACATCTGGAATAACGTGGCAGCTCCTTCTGCAGATTCAGACGAATGGGGATGACGAACTTGGACCTGACTCAGCCTGTGGTGAAACGGGTCTCGGTGCTGACGAAAACCAAGAATGTGTCTTAAGATCTGAAAGCTTATTTGGCTTTTGTAGAAAACAACAACAATAAACCCCATGTGGGGTTTCTCTGGTTTATTAAAGCATTTTTACAGGAGAAATAATTATCCTTATTTAATCCTGGATGTGAGAAATTATGAAACACAATAACCGTGGGCTAGCAGAGTCCTTTATCACTCGCCTGACATAGACAAACACGTAATTATTGCAAACAGCCTCTTTGTTTTGGTTCTGTGTGCATTTAGAGATAGAGGAGGGGAATACTTCCACAGCCGTGGCTCCGACATCCTCTAATCTCCAGGGGGAAGAGTGGCTTTAAGATGGCAGCAAAAGATTAAGTGCAAACACTTAAATGGGCAAATTTCTCTCTTTCTCTACCCCCCCCCCCCCCCCCCCCCGCACACACACACACACACACACAAACAGAGACACACCCAGGTTTGCGACACCGATGGGCGAGTCACTGAACTGTGACAGGAAATTCTGGGTGTTTTTACTCTGGGGGAACAAAAGGTGGTTCCCACAGCATTATTGACGACATATTGAAAGCAACATAAATCAGAATCTGGTGGCGCTGTGAGTGATTAGAGACACGGGATAAAGCCAGACAATATGGAGATTTCAGCTGGAATCGTCCTGAATCGAATTCAAACACGGCTGGATCGTCGTGTGGAGCACAAATACAAACAAGCTTCTCAAACTCAAACTTCTGCGGAACCAAACCGAGAGGAGTTAAGACGCGACAAACCAGTTAAAACCAGTTAAAAAACAAAAATGCAGCTCATGAAAGGAAAATAATCTGACATAAACGTTTTGAGACATTTAGGAGCGGCGCCAGCCCGGTGAGAGTCCGGGTTTACTCTGTCATGGATTAGCTGATAAAAATGATCAATTTTCACTCATTAGATCTAAACTGTAATAAATAAAGTAAAAGTGTATAACCGGTCCCAGCTGAGTCCCATCAGAACAAAAAAAAAAGACGAGTACGACTTCTGTAATTCCTGACAGCAACACCTTTGCTTATTTGATCTTAATTAATGATGAAAACAGCTGCAACACGAAGCTTGAAGCTGCTGTTCGTGTTGAAACAACATCCTCTGCCTCACTCATCCACGTCTCTGGATGCTATTTGACACCGTGACCTGAACAGTTGTTCTCTGAGAGGCCTAAAGACTCTCTGAGGAGAGGACGGCGGGGACGGAGGTGGTAAAGGTGATGAATTGATTATCCCTGGCTGGCCGGCAGCAGGGCGGTTTACCACCGTGCTCTTTAACCGTGTCCATCTGAGCATCAGTCAGAAGACACGTTAGTGGTGCTGATTCACGGCGTTTGTTATTTTTCATTTGAAAAGCTTTTATCTGCAACAGCATAATAATGTGGGATTAGACATTTCCACCTTAAAAACAATAAAATCCGATGAATACGTCACATTAAAACCATAACAATAACTTAGAAGATGTTGATGAAGACTGAAATAGTCTTCTGTGGGATCTATGATGATTATAAAAGATTACGTACTTATTTAAACATACTGGGAGAATAAAATGAGCACAGGAGCAGTGGCTAAACAAATACACCAGAGCTGGCTGGATGATTATTACAAAAACAGCTTTTTAGGGTTGGTCACAGAAAAACTCTTGAACACCTCCAACACAACAAACACGTCTTAAAAGATGGCTTTAATACGAGGGATAAAGACACGTTCAAAGACTCAAAGATGGGTGTTAAAAAAGGCGTCGATAGTTATATAAATACATAAATATGGTGAGATGAAAGAAAAAAACACTGAAGAAGCTGAGAAAGCAGCTAAATCATGGAGAAAAGTAAACGTTGAGCTTTTACAACATGTTGTGGCAGGTTTTCCTGGCCCAGCAGCAACCAGAACGCCACGTTCTCATCGCTCTGTGGGACGAAGTAACGGAGAAATCCTGATCGAGATGATAAAAAAATCAACTCGAGCTCAAGAAATGCTAAAACTATTTAGAATAACCTCGGTAATTCTGGCTTTTGTCGCCACCCTCCACATCTAGAGTGAACATTGGCTTTGAATGCATGCTTAGGGAGAAACACTAATGATTAACACACTCCATATTGCCCAAGACGATCCCAGTACAGCATGTTTTGTGCTTGTGAGGAAGAGAATGAGTCACAAACACACGCTGCACTCCCACAAGTTGGATGTTCTGATGCTAACAGAGAGAACTTGCTTTTAAGAAGTCTGAAAAATTAACACCATCCTCTGTGGACCGACGTGAATGAAAATTAAATCCATTCTTAAACAAATAAAAAGATTAAAGCAGTGGATATCAGCTTAGTGTGTTCACCAAAGGAAGACCAGGAAAAAGCAGACTCCTATGAAGCGGATGCTAATCTCAACGCAGGGGGAGACTGGGACCACGGGGGGTGTTAAAATCCCCTGACCTGCCCCGAGGTGTCGGATTGCCTGTGAATATCTGTCCTTTACCATCTGTCGCCGATGGTGCTCGTTTGGTAAGTGCTAAGCGGAGGGCGGGGGGAGGAAAATCTGGGTGGGGTGGGAACAAAAAGATGTGGGGTTTAGCCGTCAAATTAAATTTCTACTTGTCTTCAAACTGGAAGCGCATTACAGCAAATCAGATACTGATGATTTTTACAGCCAGCTGGTGGGTTACTTTAGACAACAATAGGCCATAAAGGAGGGTGTGTTTACTGTGTGTGTGTGCGTGCGTGTGTGTGCGTGTGAGCGTGCGTGTGTGTGTGTGTGTGTGTGCGTGTACGCGTGCGTGCGTGCGTGCGTGCGTGTGTGTGTGTGTGTGTGTGCGTGTACGCGTGCGTGCGTGTACGCGTGCGTGTGTGTGTGTGTGTGTGTGTGTGTGTGTTAAACGGTGAAGGGAGCCGGTAAATCTGTCTGCATGACTTCATATGACGGGGGCTTTGTATTGGATTAGGCTGAAACCAAAAGGAGGAGGAGGATGATGATGATGATGATGATGATGATGATGATACTCTCTTTGGTCTGGTAAATATTTTTCGCCGTTTTGTTGGCCTCCCCCCTCCCCCCCTTGTTTTTGATGACGTTGCTGCCATTTTTTGGGACGAGGGTGTTTTTGTTTATTGCCACGTTTCCACATCTCTCCTGCTAATCCTCGTGATTTTTAGCCAAGCTGCTGTTATTAGAGTGCAGCCGAGCCCACGGAGGAGTCGAATTAGAAAAACAAAACAAAACCAATCTTTGCTCCTTCGTGCCACAAACAGAGACGTTCAGACATAAAGCTTTAAAAACACAGGGTGTCCTGCGGTTTTGTTCTTAACTTTGGGTGAAAATACATTAAATCGTCTCAATAAGTAACATAAAGGCCTGTTGTTATTGTTGCTGTGGTGTATAAATATAACGTGATACACAGGATCCATTGTTTTAGAATTAAATTAGACATAATTTACTTCAGTGAAAAGTATTTTTTAGTAGGGGTGTAATGGCTCACGGCGGTTATTTGAACCATTTCGGTCCACTTGCGTACCGTTTCGGTTTATTTTTTCCATTAAGTAATGAATTTTTCACACATTTGCATGATTTAAGTGCAGAGGATTAAAGTTCCTTGGCGAGTTTCCGCACGGACGCTGTATTGAGTGACGCATGATGGCTGCATGCGTCTGATCTCCGTTTAAAAAATGTGATCTTCAAATTCTGATCAACATCTTTCAGAGCGGATCAGACCAGCTGGCTGTCGCTGCTACTGTGGAGTCTGTAGAGACTGTGAACATCGTGTCGCCTCTCCTTGAATGAATGAATTTTAAATAAGCTACATGATAAAGAAACATTTTGTAACATGCAAAGCACATTTGAATGTCAACTAATCAACTCTAACTTTCTACTTGGCTGACTGGTCACAGGGAGAGAGCCCAGACAGACAGCGCTGCCACTCAAGAAGAGAAGAGCTGCTATAAATATGTTTTTGTCAGGAGGGTTGATGATTGGGGACTGTGCACGATCGTATTTGAAAATTGTTTTTTTTTTTTATCCCTTGATCTGCCATCTTTACTTGTATTAACTTTAAAAAAATACCATGATATCTCTAGCTGTTTTTACAGGACCGTGGCGTTTGCAAAACGGGATTTGCCGCGGCTCCCTGGGGAGGTTGTTTATAAGATCAGATCGTGGCAGTAACGTGGCGCAACTGTGGCAATTTTATAAAAGATTAGGTGATGGCGGCATAAAGAGGGTATGGGGGCGGTCTCTGCTCTGCCGCAGACTTCCATTTATCTTGGACATAACTTGCTTTTTATTGCGATTGAAGCCGTGATTTTTTTAACAAGCAGCTCCTAAAGGTGTCTGTCTCCATCAGTCCCTGTGCAGTCTCTGGTGATCTGAGCTTCAGCTCTAACCTAGCCTCTAGAGAGGCTCATGGAGCGCTGCGGCGCTCCAGTTTGCCATGTCAGCTGATTTTGTTCAAAAAGAAAACCTTATTGCCCGTGTTTACTTTCATTTTCAATAAATTTGCCAGCTGGAGCTCAGCTATTACTCCCCACGTCATCATGACATCTGCCTCTTGCGCCAGGGCGCACACGACAGACCATTACAGCAATA